TAAGCTAGTCCCCATTCTTCTTTACGACGATTTTTTGACGATTCTATGATTCGACGACATACCTTGACACCACTACGTCGGAGGAGCACGACGTGGACAACCTAAACTCAGCCCTTTGGGGCGGCGTCAAGAAATGAGACCCCCTCCTACACAGTCCCTTGAGTGAGATTTCTCGTTGAAACTCGTCCAATCGCCTCACGTGGCTTAGATGCAGCCACATTATCCAGCTGTACATAGTACAGCAAGGTAGCCGGTGTGCATGCACACCGCCTGCAGGGTAATAAGCAGGACGTCTCATTTGTATGTTTGCGCCGTATCCGTATCTAATGCCTACGAAGTACCTATTCCGTACGTGTTTGCTTGTGTGTCGGTGTCTCAACGCAAAGTAGCGGAGCGCCAAATCAGATACCCGTCGCCACATTCTCGGCGTCCACTTAATTACCTACACCCCACGAAAAGCCCCCCGTCCGAACTCTCCAACGCGCCTTTCATCTCGGGGACCATTCGATGTTTCTCTTTCCCTTCCCCCGCCCTTCGTTGAGTTTTAGCTTTGTTTCCCACGCTATTGAAAGCCAGAGATTAGACCGTTTTTGTTGATGTTTCCCCTTCGGCTGTCGGCAGGAACCTCGTTTTTGTGTATATGATTGTTTGGTTTCGAGGTAGCACTGCACGTTTTGGTTATGGCGGGAGATGCGGGATGGATGTAACTGGCGGGCGGCGCGGCGGGAAGTCGGGGGGACCTGAACCGGTTACCATCTTCACAAGCTCAGATGGGTTTTCTTGTGATATCTCTCCCGTCGGTAGGTGTGATAATGTAAGGTAACAGTCCAGGATACAACACAACACACCCACTCGGTGCGGCTTTGGAGATAACCGGCCCCCAGGGCTACGCTACTGCTGTGAGATAGATGAAGTGTCTCCATCGTAGGGTGTGTCTAGGGTTCCATCGGGGATTTATTCCGACGTCATTGCCACGATTTTTGCCAAGTGATACCCGCATCGGCCCTGGTTTCCCAAAAGGAGACTTCGTACTCTGGAAGTCTGGCAAGTCTGGGCACGTAGAACCCTTGCCGGGCATACCGATCCACCCCAGGCACAGCATACCTAGGACCGCAGCAACACTCTTTCGAGATTTAATGGGGACCCCCTATAAGTGAGATTAATCCGATCCCATTGTGTTGTACATGCAGCACATGAACAATGAAAGGTGCCTAGATGTTTGTGTGGATAAGGGGGTACGGGTGCTGCAGCCGTAATTCGCGCGAGCCAACCGTGTAAGCTCGCTTGTTGTCTACACAGTAAGGTACTATCAAACGGTGTGTGTCTGCGCCGCACCCTTACCTCGGCGCAATTTTTTTTTTAATTTTTTTTAACTTCTGCTCTTTTTTGGCTTATGGGAAAAGAGCTGGGGTGTATGTGGGTGTTGTATGGGAGCTGAAAAAGAGACATCTTACATGATGGTCGCCGATTACTAGTGCGGGCAGGAATGAAGCCTAATGTCTGGTTCAGCCTCAAACGGCCCGGCACACCCACCAGCTTACCGTTGCTTACCTACACTAGGTATTTCGTACGGAGTACAGCACAGCAACACATGCGGCGGAGGCGGCGGTAAAGCCGTCCCTTGCGAGCCGGGTAGGCTACATGTCTTGGTGGATGTCGGTTCCCCAGATAAGGATTGTGCAGGAGGAGGAGGAAGGGGAGAAGGAGGAGGATCGGATCTCATATAACACTTGCTTCCTTCTCCTTGTTTTACCGGCTGTGCTATAATCGTGTTTCATTGTTACTCTTATATCTCACATTTTCCTTCCATTGTGTCTAATACAAATCCCTGGATTACACACGCAGTCTCTTTTTAAGATTCCTGGTCGAGTATCGACTTACGACAGTTTGTCGATATCAACACAGCAGGAAAGATAAACGCCATGACGATTCGAGACAGCGACGCCTCGGGTGCGAAGAAGGAGCACACCAAGATGACGCACGGCGACAACAACTGCTTCTTCGAACACGACGTCGAGATGATGGGATCCGTAGACGCCCACCTGCTCAACACCACCGTCCAGAACATCTCGTGGGAGGGCACCGAGGTCACCGTCAAGGACAGGGAGACGAAGCAGCCCAAGAGGATTGTCGACCGCGTCAATGGACTTGTGGAGGCTGGTAAGCCACCGCACTTGTGTAACTACATTACCACCGATGCTAACATAATGCCCTCAAGGCGAAATCTGCGCCCTCATGGGCCCCTCAGGCTGCGGCAAAACAACCCTCCTCAACGTCCTCGCAGGCCGCCCCACAAACGCCTCCTCGGTCTCCGGCTTCGTCCTCGTCAACGGCGAGAAGCCCTCGCGCTCCCAGTTCCGCCAGATGAGCTGCTTCGTCGAGCAGGAGGACGCCCTCATCGGCTCCCTCACCGTCCGCGAGACCTTGTTGTTCACCTCGCGACTCTCCAGCACCTCCTCGCTGCCCGCCAGCGAGCGCCTCGCACGCATCGACGGCCTGCTCAACGCGTTTGGTTTGAACGAGCAGGCCAACACCATCATTGGCACGCCGATCCGCAAGGGCATCTCGGGCGGACAGAAGAGGCGTGTTGGTGTCGCGAGTCAGCTTATCACGAGCCCGAAGATTATGTTTCTGGATGAGCCGACGAGCGGGTTGGATTCTGCGGCGAGTTTTGAGGTGATTAGTTACCTCAAGACCGTGGCTAAGAGGAGCAACGTAAGTCAAGCCATCTGCCTCTGGTACATCCGTTGGATGGTCTCATGCAACCTAACACACTGAGACAGCTCATCGTCATCGCCTCCATCCACCAACCCTCCACCTCAACCTTCAACCTCTTTGACAAGCTCCTCCTCCTCTCCGCCGGCAAGACGCACTACTTTGGCCCCGTCGACAACGTGGTCCCTTACTACGAGTCCCTCGGCATGCCGATCCCGCTGCAGGTGAACCCGGCCGAGCACGTGCTCGAGATGGTTAACACGGATTTCGTCAAAGACAAGCGCGAGGCGGCGCAGAGACTCGAAGCGATGCACGGCGCCTGGGAGGAGTCGCGCTCGGCCAAGGAGCTGCGGCTTGCCATTTCCGACGCCGAGAAGCATAGCAATTCTCTGGAAGACGACCAGGCGGAGAAGAAGCCTGGTCTGCCGAGTCTTGCGCTTACACTGCTGCATCGGAGCTTCATTAAGAGTTATCGGGATGTTGTGGCGTATGGGATCCGGTTTGCCATGTATACTGGTAAGTTATTTGGATTCTCGTACGTGGTTAAGAGGGGGGTATACTAACGAAACGAAGGTCTCGCTATCATGATGGGTACGGTCTGGCTTCGCCTCTCGACCGACCAAGAGTCCATCATCCCCTTGACCAATGCCATTGTAAGGACACCTCAACCGTATCGATCTAATTCCTGGGCATTGCTAACGAGCATAATAGTTCTTTGGCGGTGCCTTCATGAGCTTCATGGCAGTAGCCGCAGTCCCAAGCGTACGCAGAAACCCCTCACCACTTCCCTTCATATTCCCCCCATAACTAACAAACTGTTGGGCAGTTCCTCGAGGACCGCGACCAATACGTGAAAGAACACCAAAACGGCCTCTACGGTCCCACAGCCCTCCTCATCTCAAACTTCTTCATCGGCATCCCCTACCTCTTCCTCATCGCCCTCATCTTCTCCGTAATCTCCTACTGGCTCTCCAACTTCCGCCCCTCGGCCTCGGCCTTCTTCATCTGGGTCCTCTGGCTCTTCCTCGACCTGCTCGCAGCCGAATCCCTCGTCGTCTTCTTCGTCTCCCTCTTCCCCAGCTTCGTCATCAGCCTCGCCCTCGTCGCCTTCGCAAACGGCCTCTGGATGAGCGTCAACGGCTTCATGGTCTCCCCCACCATTCTCAACTCGTTTTACAAATATGTCTTCCACTACTGGGATTACCAAAAGTACGTCTTTGAGGGCATGATGCACAACGAGTTTGCGCAGCGGACGTATACCTGCGGCAAAGGGTGCCAGTGCATGTACCAGACCCCGCTGGCGAGTGAGTGCAAGATTGCGGGCCAGGGCGTGCTCGATACGTACGGGTACACGGAGAATCACTTTGGGAGGGACGTAGGTATCATGCTCTCCATCGTTGTCGGATACCGCATCGCGGCGTGGATCGTGTTGAAGATCAAGAAGAACTGAGGGGCAAACGCCGCTGGTCGGTCTCCTGTCCACCCACCCCCTCGTACAAGTGTTATCATGTTGGAAGATGTATAAATGGGGGGCTTCGGGGTTGTCTGTCTTTTCCGCCAGTATAATTGGCTTTAAACGGCTTGCAAAGGCCTGGAATAATGGTGTTTCTTTGGGTTGGTCTTTAGATGAGGAGGAGCTTGACAGTTTTGTTTTGAGTTGCTTTCGGCGTTCGTTTGGCTTAGGCGTGTGCGGTTATATCTATTAATCTTCAGGTTTTAATAATGAAAAAATAAGATGAAAAAAAAAAATCCTTCGGCACAGGGGCACAGAAGTTATTTGTCCCATCCCAGGTGGTTTCCTCTTCGGCTGATCCTCCTTTTCCTGCCTCACGTGGTATTGGATATCAATGGAAATAATTACATTTGTGTTATAGCAACGGCATCTTGCCCAAAAGGCCTGAAAGGCAGAAGAAGCCTTCCCTTTGTTGTATATGAACAAGATGGGAGACCACGAGGTAGTCAGACATGTCCCTAATCCCGTGGTAATAGTAGTTTTCTCACCTGGGACGGGAAAAAACTAACATTGGTGCTATTCTGGAGGGTTGGAAAGGTGCGGTCCTTCGTTGTCTTTTTTATCCTCGCTGTACTCCTGCGGTTGACACTTCCTCATTTCTAATCTTTGACTTTTCCCACACGCCAACGTACCTTACCTTACCTCCAAGAAGGAAAAGTAAAGCGCGGAAAAAAAATAGCATTTTCCCTTTTCATTCCCGTCAAGGCATTCTCAATATCAACATACTTTTCCTCGTTATCGTCTCTTATACTCGGAGAACGCGATCCTTGCAATGTCGTCACCAGGAATCCTCGCGCAGGACTCCCCGAACACGCAGAAGCGCGCCGGGTATATAAAAACCAAGTTCGCAGGCCTCATTCAGGATGATTCTGCGTTACCCGAGATCCTAGAGAAGGCACGTCGAAGTGTCAAGGAGGAATTGATCAACGACAAGATCGATGAGAACGGTGTCTCTGAATACTGGCACAACTGGGCTATCGACTTTGCTGTCTGGCGCATGGCCATGGAGAAAGATAAAACATCAACCGTTATTCAGGTTTTTCCATGCTAACCACCACATAGTCGATCAGAGCAAGCAAGAGACCTTCCCTTGGGGACACAGCATCCCTTGATTCAAGCCCCAGAACCTCCCCGACATCGCCGCTTGCTCCACACAGCCAGCCTAAGAAGGACTTGGCCACGAGAGCGATACCATCCGCCTCTAAGAGAATGGAGCGTGGGCTCCAGGCGATACCCGAACAGCCCAGTCTTATGCGGACCTCACCGAACATTGCCACGATCGAGCTCCGACAACGCATGTGGGACATGGCCTTCCCTGGCGAACCATGCACCAAGGGACGGCCCGTTGAACTCGGCATGCCCAAAAGCCTCGACCTTGAAAACCACGTGTCCGCAGACCATGCCAATGTGATGAGGTGGCTCCCGGGCTGCCTGCGTGTCGACACCGTCCACGGCGAATGCCAAGAGGGCAACATGATCAATGCGATTGTCTTTAGTCCTAAGAAGTATGTTACAATCAACGTATGGAGCAGTCTTTTGTTGGGCATGGTGTACAGAACTGCCGCCAACTGGGCTCGCGAGGTGTTTATGACTTGCTTGACGTCTACATGATTGGTATTAGGACATCTTACTTGGCCTAGAGACCTAATTTCTTGCACTTCTCAAGGGTTCTGTGGGATAAATCTTAAAGTATGATTGGTATCAGACATCGCAAACGGAAATGTTGCCGTCCCTCCATGTACAACTAAACGCCAGACCCAACACAAAAAGCGCCAACTCGCTGTTCCTCAAACAACCGAGCTCCCAACTTTTAGACCACCAGTTTTCGGCGTAATACATAGTAGACAGTGTGCCGTCCAGGCATTTACAAACATCGTACATCACCATCACCACCACCTCATTCATCGTACATTATAACTAGAGCTAGGACCCGACCGGCCCACGCCCTTCTCCTTCTGCCACGTCGTCCACTTGCTCTTCCCATCATACCGCGAAAACCTGTTTCCAATCGCGTCCGACACCGTCATCGTCGGGACCAGCTTCGCGTCCGAGTGGTACGGCAACACGCTGCGCTCCTTCTTGGCCCTGGGAAGCTTGGGCATCTTCTCCTCCTGCGCCTTGAGCGCTGTTCTCCTGTCCTTGAGCACCTGGCTCAACTCCACCTCGCTGCTGGCGATCTGCGCCTTGAGGAAGAAGGGGTCGGCTGTCGTCCTGTCCTCGAGGGTATCCATGACGGGCGTGCGAGGCGTATACTGGATACCGTCAAACTTGGGCGCGTGCGAGGGGTCGGGCACGATGGCGGGGTCGAGACGGGCTTCGGCTCCCTTTGAAAGTAGCGTAGTGATGTCGAGACTCTCTCCGTGAGGGATCGGTGTTTTGTGGCTCGGCGTGATGCAGTCCATGTCAACCTCCTTGCGGAGAACGTGGTCAATGTCAATGGCAGAGAAGTACGCCACCGACTGCGGTAGATCGTGGATGCCCACTTGTTGAGAAAACATGGCCCTGGTCCAGACGTTCGCCACTTGAAGCGCCATCGCCGCACGGTATTTGTCGTGATTTTTTACCAGGTATCGGATCTCGTCGTGAACGGTGATGGCGAGACGCGCATCAATGTTGAAACGTCTTGTGAGATAGTCCATGCTGACGATAAGGAGGTGGAGGTAGTCGACGCCAGATGACTGTACAGCCCAGTTGATGCGCGACGTGAGGTAGCCGTTCTGGTTGATGAATCTGCGCATCAACGCCTCCGTGATGCCGGCTCCCAGGACGAACGTCCGCGGCCGCTCCTGGGCCGCGAACTCCTCTAGCTTATTGAACAAGAACGACTCAGTCCCGCCACGCCAGAACGGCCGCTTGCTGAGTACGGATCTGTTGGTTTTGGTACCCTTTGTCGTGGCGTACAACTTGGACGCAGTCACGTTTGTCTCCTGCTCGGACAAGTTGGGGTTGAACTGTCTCAACAGTTGACCGGCAAACTTGAGCCCCGCACCGTAGATACGTCCATAGTTGAAGACCTTAGCGTCGTTTCTCGTGATGCCGAGAATGCCTGCTGTTCGCGAGTGGAGATCCGTGCCGGCGGCCTTTGTGCCCTCAAGAGTCATGAACCCAATGGCATTACCACCGTGTAGTTTGAACGTAGCGTCTCCGACCAGACTCGCAATCCACAGCTCTTCGGAGTCAACATCTGCACCGACGAAGCAGTAGCCCGGCGGTGCTTTTACCATCGACTTGAGCTCCGATCCGACTCTGTTCTTCTTCGCGTTACTTGCCGTGAGCCATGTGTTCTCCACGGCTCGTCTTGTAATGGTGCCCATCGGTATTATCTGAGGCAAGATATAGCCCTGGACTTCCTCGGGGCTCTTCTCCTTGGAACTCGTCTTCTCCTCGTTGACTGAAAGGTCGTCTTCGTACACCACCATCTGTGACCTGATGCGATCGCGAGCGCTAATCCAGTACGAACACGACGCATTCATCTCCAGTGCCTCCTTCGCGTACGCATACTTTGACGACAAGGTGCCCTTCTCAAAGTAGGAGAGATAGCTCTTGGCCATCGGGTTGACACATCGTGCCGTGGGCCCGTCCTTGTGGGGGAGCTTGAAAAAGATGCCCTCTTCTTTGAGTAGTGCCGCATCGGTGTCAGAGTCGGAGAAATCGCACTCGATCATTTGCTTCTGCTCGTATGCCTCTGCTTCGTTATATGCCACTCTGAACGTCCAGCCGTACTTGCCCGACCAGAAAAGCGGGTGGTTATCCCACGAGAGCTTTAGTAGAATAGGCGCGATGCGGGTGCGCACGGAGATGGCAATAGGCGCATCGCTCTTCGGGAACAAGTCCTTATACCACTTCGGCATGCCCGGCTTCTTTTGTCTCGCGGCTGGTCGTGGGGGGTCATTCTTCTTCTTCCCTTTGACCATCTTGATCTCCTGGCCGGACCAGTCCAGCTGCTTCAGCCATGGATCGTTTCCCCATTTCTCGGGGTCGTCCTTGATTGCAAGAGCCTGCTCAGTAAGCCCAATCAGACGCTCCTGTACGGCATCAGAGAGCTCTCGGTAAGTGGCCTCGGCATTGTGAATGTAGGCGTCCCATGTCTTGTCGACAGGCAGAATGACGGATGAAAGATGTCGCAACGCAGCGAAGCTGACAGGATGAGGGCAAGTGTCCAAGAAGTTTGGAAACACAATCTGGTACACTCTATGAGTGATGGCTACGTCTGCAGCGCAGTAGTCGAGGAGGTTGTCCAACTTGCTCAAAACGCCATCCCGGTCGAGGGAGCCGAATTCGTCGCGAACGGCCTTGTCAATGGTAACGTCGAGGTGGAATTTGGCCACGTCGCGGAGAGAATTGACCGAGCTTCGTTCCACCCACAACTCCTCCTCCTCTTGCCGCAGAGCACTGTTGCCTAGAAGCTCCGCCAGCTGCACGTCGTCTGTTTCGCTCGCGATTTTGTCTCGTAATTCTCTACTCTTTTTGTGCTTCATCCACGTCGGTCTCTGCTGCGAGCACATGCCGTTCACAGCAACATGAAGCGACATGGTGTCCAAAAAAGAGTTTCGAGTCTGCTTCACGTCGTACTCTTCCAATATTCTCGCCCTGTCATATCCAACATTGTGTCCTACTATTATGCGCTCCTTCGTCGGATCGCCAAATGGTATCAGGTGCCGATCAGACTCGGATTCGCCCAGGAGCCAAGGGGATAGCCAGGCGTACCATGCCGTCGGGCTCGAGGCGCAGGCCATGACGGCAAACGAACTTTCCTTCCACATGACTTCGGTATCAAAACAGAGCATGGATTCGTCTGGCGCATCGACTGCCTCGGTTCGGCCATCGGGGTAGTATTTGGTCCAGCCACTTCGGCGAACCCATTTCCGAGGTTTTGGTGGTGCACTCGCCCTCGCAAACTGTTTGGCAAAAGAGAGATACGGCTCGGCAGAGTCGACGGCTAGCTTGTGGAAATGCTCGTCCAGTGTGCGTCCCTGGAGCTCTGGTAGATCGAAGGCAATGGGGTCGCTGTTGTCCGTGTTCTTGCCGAGCAAATCGTGTCGGCGCAAGTGGTCTTTGGATAGTTCGACGAGCTCTGAAGGCGGCGGGGGGTTTCCATCGGGAAAGAGCTGTTTATACACATGGGCGCTGAGGTGCTGGACACCAATATCGTTGAAGCGCGCTTGCGACGGGACTGTGGATGTTAGCGAATGACCAGGCAAACATCTATCTAGACAGGCGCATGTTCATACCAGCTAGGCTTTGCTGTGATTCTGCGATGCCTTCTGTTTTGGATGCATCTGTAGCGATTGCGGATTGCCACCGGACGTGAGAGCGCCATGCTAGGCGACGGGAAGCATGGTGTCGAGCTAGGCGGACGAAGCTCGCAGTCGAACTCCTCAGGACATGGTTTGCAATCTCAACCATCGCTAGATCGGCCTTGCAGCATGCCGCAGCGGGATCGGGTGCGTATTAAATGCGTATTGTCGATGTGTGGTCGCGCAGCATGACCTGGATGCGAAGTAGAGGATGCGCGGAAGCTGAGAGATGCGACGCTGAATGAGCGACGAACAAGGAGACAAGCCGAAAAATCGAAAGTTGCCGTCACCATTTCGATAGGCGTCGCGATAGGGGGCGGAAGAGGGGCGCGTTAGCTTGGGCCCATGTGCTGGTGCAAGGATGACAGCCAATCGGCATCGTTGGGATTGCCTGCTTTGCTCACCTCACCTGGTCGCCCCCACCTTGAGAGCTTTCAGGGTCTCCCGCCTGCTTAGGCCTTGGGAAGCGACCTTTGAAAAAAAGTATTCTTTGAGGTATCTCGGAATACCGATTTATCTTGTAGACTCCTTTCGCTTCTCTTTAGCAGGGCTCTTTTTAGATGTTTTCATATCTCATCTGCCTTACTTACGAATGATGTCTACCTAAGGTACCTAGGTATGCAACACATCCATCTGCTGAATTTCCCACCAGCCCAGAGCTAATCGAGATCCTCGTGCGGCTGGAGCACCTGACCTCCATGCTTTGGCACATCAAGACGTAATAGCGCAAGGGCAACTGTAGCCATATATAATTGGACACATCGTCTGGATTTCTGCGTTGATTTAAATACCTGCTGTTCAATATGGTTCATCGCAACATTGTGCATAGGTAGGTACCTTATCTTCATGAAGAATTGAAGTCAGGTCATGTTCATGGAAGGTACTTACCCAAGGTAGGTATCCGTACCAAATTGTCGGATTCCGAGGGCAGTCGCCGCCCGTGGACCCCACTTTAGTCGGCACTGTGGGTCGATTTCCTCCGGCCTGCTCCGGCAGACACAATTCTTTAAACGGGGGGTTTGCTACTATACTTTACCTGCTAGGTTCTATAGGAAGACACGCATCCATTTCAAGCTGCTATTGTCTTGTCAAATGGACGAGGCATATGTCCTCTAATATGCTCACTATTGGGACTGAAGACGCAAACACTGGGCGCCTGTGCCGTGTGTTGCGGCCACCTCGTGTCGGTGGGACAGAATTGGGGTCGGTGATGCCTGGTTCAAATGGCGGCATGGCGGCCTGTGTGTTGTGTCGCGCTTGCCGCACCAGTCTCATGCTCTCATTCAGTTTGGAACCTGGGTCTCTGCTCAGCGACGTATCATACCAATGATTGAAGACGCTGTGTTAGAGAGCTGCCCGACACTGGGTGACTGGCCGCTCAGCGGCATGTAGCCGTCTTGTGCGACACCGGGACCGGCCTAGATCCCAAAGCAGAGGCAGGCACAAAAGGGGAGGGCCACCTAAATCGTTTCTTTTCTTATTCGAGTCGCGTTTTCTTCTCTGTCCTCTGACGACCCGAGCGCTGCGTCTGCCACTTGACGCAATCGGGAATCCCGAGGCAGCTACATATTCGTGCCTAGTGTACACATATGTCCTGATCCAAGGTCATGCTGATTTTTCTCGTTTTTCTCATATCTTGACCTTGGCGGATCAAGACAAATAGTGCAGGTGGCCCATGAGTAAGTGCATTGCGAACCTGGAAGAACCCAAGTGCCCCCGTCCCGTCGCCACCAGTGCACCTGCAAGAGAAACTGGGCTGCTGACCTGATTCACCCACGGCCGCAGTTGCCGCTCATTCAGAACGTTCAGGTCGCGGAGTAATTGCCCGTCCACCACAGTCCACTGCCACTGGTCAGCAACAAATCAATCGCCGAACCGACGCCTAAACCCCGAAACGACCTGACGACACTAGCAAGGACGTCCAGCCGTCATCCCGCCCTCCATCACTTTCCCTTCGTCACGTCGACATGGCGAAGAACCCCTTTGCCGCCCTCCATTCTCCTTTCAGTGGATACCTGTCAGGTAATTAGCTGCCTTCTTGTTCCCTTTGCACATTGTCTATCAATCATTGCCTTTTTTGGGATCACCAAACGTCTTGTCTCTGACCTTGGACATTGTTCCCTTTTGCGCTGCAGACGACAGGCGCTTCCTCATTCCTCCTATGCCGGGCTTCATCCCGTTTTTACCCACGCCTCCTCTGCCACAGCCGACACGAACTGCCTCAGGTCAATCCGTGAATCACCTCTCAGGCCTGGACCGGAGTGCTGCACGAGGCGGCAGCAGTCAGGCACCCATCGAGCTCGACGACGATTCAGAGCCCACACAGGCTACGACTTCAGGGCCTCCAAACGCCACCGGTAATCAGCAACAGCAGCAACAACAGCGGTCTCGCAACCACGCCGTCAACCCTTGGGGCATATTAACACCAGAAAACACCCAGCACCTGCAGGCTTTGCCCTCTTTTTCCGACTTTGCCGCCAACCTGGATTTCTCACAGTTCGACGCGACAGCGCCTTTCCCTAACGGCGCCCCGCAGACGCCCGGCCACGATCTGAACAGTGACGAGTACCTTTCGGCACTGGTCGATGGGAACTTCTCCTCACCATCCTCATACCCTCAACAAAACCAGTCCTTTACAGGCAACCTGCAACCGAACCAGCCCTCGAACCTACAAAACCCTCCCCGCCGCTGTCCCCCAGACACGGCCCTGCGACCAAATCGCCTCTTCGCCAGGAACAGTGGAAACAACACACCCGCCGCGCCACCTGTAGGAAGAGCGCCGACGGCCCCGACGGGAAATCTTACTTTCTTCGAGACCGAGGAGGAAGAGTCGCTTTTCGTTAGCTCAGACGACGAACAAGCACCAGCCACGATGCCTGTACAGACGCGCCGGAGAGCCTCCACAATCCTCAGTTCCGACCACGATCCCGAGCCGGAAGAGATCGCAGCACCCACATCGCGAAAGAGAGCAGCGCCGTCCTCTGCACCGTCTCGAGGGTCTGCCGCTCCGAAAAGGCGGCGGACATCACAACCCCAGGCCACGCGCACCCAGACGACGCCCAATACCCTAGTCATAGACGACGATCCCTTTGCCGAGAAAAACGAAGAATCGAAGAAGGGAAAGGAGAAGGATGAGGACATCATTGATCTGGCGGGCCCTAATGAGACGCCAGAGGAGGTGAAAGTGCCCAAGGAAGACAACAGGGTCAAGCTCTCAGCCTTCCAGTGTGTCATCTGCATGGACGATGTCACTGCGCTAACAGTAACACACTGCGGTATGTCTGAACCTGCGCTAAACCCATGGGACACCGTCCTAACACTTACCAGGCCACCTGTTCTGCTCCGAGTGCCTTCATTCTGCTCTGAACGTTGACGCCACCAAGAACAAGTGCCCAATCTGCCGACAAAAAGTCGAGACCAAGGACCGAAGCGAGTACACAAGCAAGACCAAGGGCTTCTGGCCTCTGGAGCTCAAGCTGATGACAGCAAGCCGCAAGGGGAAACAGCGAGCCTGATGACTTTTTTCTTTCAACATTACTTATTTTTACGGACCCCAGGACCGTCTTCGAGTCACGGGCAGTACATCCATTCTGGCGAACACACGGGAAGGCGGGGGCATAGGCTTGCGTGGTTTTAAGCATTTACAGTGCGTTTGGGGGGGATCGGGAGGGCCTGGTCATTGATTTCTTGTGATACCCGTTCAACCAGCATTGCGCTCATGGAGGGCGAGCGGAGGAGCCCTAGCATCTGTTCAGGGACAAGGACAGCAGAAGCGAAATGACAGCCCATTTCAGCCATTTCCGTGATTACGGAGACTCTTGAGCGTTTGAGCACTGTGACGACTTGAGTACTATGACGATATGATCCACGTGAGGCCCAACGTCGAGTCAGGTCAGGGGGCAGCGAACTTCATATGCAAAAGCTCTACACTCATCACGACTCTTTATTTAAACATGCTTTCCTCGGGGAATATGTTTTTTCCCGACGAGACTTAGGTATGACACTTCGGCCAAAAGTGTCCCATTTCCTTTCCGACCCTTTGGACCTTCTTCCCAAACGCCTGGTTCTATGCACAGATGACATCCACGCTGATCTTCAAGTCTTTTTTTTGTCTTTGTGTCTCTGATATTCTTCCACTGATTACGCCTCGTACACCGTCCCTTGCGGCTCAGACCCGGTTGTTCTTAGGTGAACAGGACGGGACCCTGCTTCTTTGGCTCCGGCATCACCTCATTTTCAAACTGTCAATAAGTCAGCAAACTGTGTCATATGTAATCTGGAAGGAACGTGAGCAGAACTCCTTACCTCCAGGAAGGCGGTCGCGGCAATCAAGACCATGAACCCCTCTGCCAACTCCTCAATGTTCTCCTCCAACGCGCCCTGTCCCTCAACGGTACCGATACCAGCGCTGCGCTTGAGAGTGTGCGTCACCAACATGCGATGCTCTGTCAAAAACCTCCGCCCCTGTAGTACGTTGCTCGAGCCGCGGCTGACAATGGCCGCGCCAACGACCTGCGTGACCTTTGCGAGAAGCTCGTAGTGCTTCTCCAAGGCCTTTGGGTTCGTCGGATCAATCTGCAGCTCTGGGTCCGCGGCAAACAGACCCGACGCCTCGATGGATCGGAAGAGATTTGCGTGCAAAATGTACTTGGCACCGGACTTTGTCTGGGCGAGCTGCAGGAGCAGCGCAAACTTTGCGGCGATGTACGTCTCTTGCGCCGTGTTGCTCGTGTGAATAATCTCGTTCCAGTCTTGCAGAATGGTCCGCAGGGAATCGACGAGAATTCCGATAAAATTGAGCCGGTTGAGTGTTTCGACAATGTGCTGGTCATCTTCTTGCCGTCCGAGGTTGACCAACGCGTTGAGTAGGATAAAGGCAGCCGTCTGGCATGCGGCGTCGCTGCCGTACGCATCGTCGCAAATAACGTTGATGAGCCTCTCTCCGTACATCTGAATCGTCTTGTTCGTCTTCTGGCGGCCGGCAACGAGGAGTCCTTGGTCTACCATACCCGTCAGGTACCGGTAGCATATGCTGTAGTACACTGCTCTGAGATCTGAGGAACCGGTCCACTTGCCGATGGCTTGCAGGCAGATTTGGAACAGCTGGTAAAGCTTGTCGCTGACCAGGCTGCCAATCGCCTGGCTCTCACGGTCAAGCGAAGGCTTCGCAGTCAAATCAAGTCTGAAAAGAAGCACCCTGGCCAATTTAGCAAGCTCCATGGCCTCCTCTGGCCGCTCAAACGCGGAAGCCTCCAAACCCGGCAGGATGGCTTGTAGCGCTTGTAGGTAGAAAGACGCTTCGGCGGTGCCCTTGAACTCGTTTGATGCAACCATGACGAGAAGCAGGCTTGTCCAGGTCTTGAGGACACCCAGACTTTGCGATACTATCCGCTTTTGCCGGTTGGAGAAGATGAGGTAGTCAATGATTATCGCCTCTTCCCGTTCCAGAGTCGCAAAATCTTGTGTCGTAAGCACAACACCGTCATGTTTTCGTTCACTACGCTTGAGTTGCAGGATTTCCCTCGCCCGTTCGACGTTGTAAATGGGATTTCCGTGATCATCTTCTTCGAGGCATGAGCTGAGATCCAGATCCTTGTAAAACTGTAGTGAAGGAAATGTCTCGTCCCAAATGCCGTCTGGTAGCGAGAAGTCGTATAAATCAAAAATCGTGGGGATAGGCATGGGCTCGTTGTTCTCGCCCACAATTTGGCCGTTGAGAGCCTCGAAGATGCGTCGTTTGAGGGACGGCATTCGACTCTGCGAAATGCTGCATAGCTCCATCGATATGTACTCCAAGCTCATGCTGCGTAAGGCCAGGAAGTCGATGAATGTCGGCCCGCCTTCCGTGAGTGGGAACTGAGGCATGCTGATTTCGTGCTCTTCCCATAGGAGTTGGGGTTGGATGACTACCTCGCGTAGCAGGAAGTGGAACAAGATATCGTTATCCCGCAACTCGTCAATGACAAATGGGGCTGACAGCGGTGACGTCCACAGGACGCGCAAAATACGCATACATCTACTCTTCAATGAAATGAGCCAGTGACGCATGCATGTGGCATCACCGTGTGGGCTCTCGAGAAGAAGCCTCAACATGCTGTGAAAGAGCGAATCTCTTGCGGCAAAGGTCCCATCTGGCGCTATTGAGAGGCTATCAACACCGCAGGTAAACCCGAGGAGAAGGTGAGCAATGGTAGGCTTGTTAGGGCTTGCCGCCAAGCAGCTTGACAAGAACTCGAGTATGTAAGTCTTGGTAAGGTAGTTAGGTGATTCGGCGTGTCCGGCGAGGTCGAGCGGCGTCATCAGCTCTGCGGCGAGAGCCCGGGCAATGGCCTCGTGCTCTCCATTCGCCTCCAACGCGACGATGGCTTTGTTGCGGTGGCTCTTGCGGCCCGGTGTGGACGACCATGCAGAGGTGATCTTGAAAGACGCCGTCATCTTCTGCAGCAGTCGCAGGCAAGACAGGGTCAACTCGGGGTGGCCGAGGCCACAGTAGTTCCCGAGGTCAACAACCAAGCTCAGATGACCAACCAAGCCGTCCTCGAAGGATGCGTATGCGGCATTGGCCACAGGAGGTCGTCGGTGATTTGACTGCATCTTGATGATTGGGCGCACAAGATCAAGGAAAGTTGCTTGAAGATCCAACACTTTGGAAATCACTTCTACCGCTCTGAGGATGCCCAGAATAATGGGTGACGTGGGCGCTGCGTTGCCGACGTCCACTGCATCTTGATGAATGGTCTGGGCCAGTGCAGCAATAACCTTATCGTTGAACATCCACTCAATGACTCGGGCAAAGGGGTGCAGCTTGACGTAGGTCGCCAGATCCGTTGCGGCCATTGCCGAGTCAATGGGAATGTTTGTCTCGTTGGCGATGATGATGAGATTTTCGTTAAATGTCGCCAAGCAAGTTGCTGCAAACTCGAGGCAGCTCAAGCGAAGCATCCTCAGTTGGTTGACATCGTTGACTTCGTTGGCCTTGTTTGCAAAAACCTTGCCCATGACAGTATCGACATAGACTTCGATGCCCGGCATGCGATTCGCCGAACCAAGGTTCTCGGGGAATGGCAGGCCATCATTCAGGGGGCTGCTGTCTTCCGGAGGCGAAATGAGCGCGATCAGCAGCTGGATGAAAGCGTGGGGTTCGTCGAAACCGTGGCAAATATCGTCGCTGACAGTGTCCATGGAGACGATCGGAGAGCTCTGGGGCGATCGGTGCTGGCTTGGCGTCATAATGTAGGCGCCATTCATCCAGGCCTCCAGACATTGCCACATGATGTTGGCCTCCTCTTGGGTTTTCCGTGAAATAAGAGCGCGCAAGGCCATGAATGTACCTGCCCGCAGGTCCGCAGGAATCGGACTGCTTGCAAGCTGGAAGAGCATCTCGACAAGGTTGAAGCTAGGCTCCTTGAGAAGGAATTGCCTCGGGGCTTCGCTCTCGGACGCGAGCTTGGTGATGAGCCGCAGATATGACTGCAACATCATCGTAGATTCCGGCTCGGCCTCAGCTTGGTCGCTAGTCGGTCTGCCAGGCCGGTATGTTGACGGAGCTTGGGGGGTCTGGGCCTTTTCTCTGATCTTGTTTGAGAAGAAGACAAGCTCTCTGAATATCTGGTGCCACGTGAGGGACTGTGACCGCCTCATCTTGCCAGACGCATGGTGGCCTTCGTCTAAGAGGAATTCGTGCGCGGCCGTTGCACAATCCTCGTTGCTCGAAATGGCCTGTAGCATTTCGCAGAACGAGCTGACTAGCGGCGTCGAGGCTCTCCGCGATGCCCAGTGCATGAATCCAGCCAAATTGCTATCGGGGTCTGACCAGAAATTCATCGCGGCATCCGGACGGCCCTCATACGCGTAGGAAATGATGACCAGGAAGCGCTCCAGGTCGAGGTCTTGTTCGTGTGTCTGGCTGAGCTGACGCTGCTCGTCTTCCTCCACGCGAAGCTTCCGCAGGACGTCGGGAAGGTTAGAAATGAAGGCATCGACAAAGACCTCTAGCTGAAGCATCAGAGACGACTGGAACTCCTCTGAGAATGTGATTGAGTCTGAGATGAGCGGAGGCGCCTTTCGTTGAAGCCAGTTGCGCATCGTTATTCTTGACGGGTCGACCCACTCGGGCGTCTTGACATCTGCGGCAATGGAGAGGATGAAGTCGAAAGCACCATCCTTTAAAGCCTCCAAGAATTGCTTGGATCTCTGTCTGTCCTCTATTCGGTTCTTTAGCTGACGTCCGCAAATTGAGTATCAGGGGGCTCACCTTTGTCCAAATCAACACCTTCCAAGCCACCGAGTAGCGAATCATCTAGGTACCACCCGCTGTACTCTGATAGCCACCAAGCCTTGACAGCTGCTTGAAGATACACCAAGCGCCAAGGGGTCGTCTCATCGGCTTGCGGGCAGATGATTGGGTTGAGTTGTCTCGCCATGCTCAGGTTCGAAACCCCTTCAGTCGAGCCATATAGTGTGATGTACGCACCCAGTGCAGGGAATAAATGCGCTTCAGCCGACGTCAGTGAATGCAGTTCGTTCACAGGACTCGTTGCACTTACCAAGAAGAATGTCGTACTTGTCCACGTTGCTCAAGAGTTGCAGGAAAGCCTTGAAATCGCCAACTTCAGCATCCCTCTTTTCGATTGCGCGGCACAAGATCATTGAAAGAAGCTCGTGCTGCTGGTAAAGGCTGACGCGGGAGAACTCAATCGTCTCCATCTCCTCGGGCACCTGACCACCTCTGCCATTGATCAGTACGGCCACAGCCGTCAGTTTGTCGGCAATTTTCTGGAGCCACGTTCTGACATCCTGGATCGCCGACATGCACTTCGGAATCAGCCTCTTTTGTGAAGATGTCTTTTCGCCAGGCAGGTTTTGAAAGACGGTCGCAGATAGATACATCTGCACACCATTGAGAATCTCGGGATCAATCTCATCGTCGTCTAGCGCATCAATCTCGAACATAAGTCGAATGCTGTCGAGAGTGTATCTTCGCTGTTGGTGGACCCTGATCAAAGCGCATTCGAGCAGCGGGCGAGCGATTGCGATGGGGTCATCCTCGGAATCCAAGAGGCATCGCATGGCATCGATTTCGTTTATTTCGGCTTCGTCGGCGAGACTGAGTACCAGTTGCTGAAACTCGTCGTTGACGGAGTATTCCTCCTCATCGATCACAACCTTGCCTGGCGCATAAAGCTGTGTCAGTGACCATATTAGGACGGGGAAGCTACAGAGCTTCAAACCAACCTAACTTGACAGCCTGACGGCTCTTCTCGTCTCTTGCAGGCCTATGCCATGTTTTTTCGAGCTCCCTTTCGAATATAGCTTGGATAACGGGGTTGTCCAAGGAGTCAACGCCTTCGGGGCGACCATCGCGAATGGCAGCTAAGTCGCGGTGGAAAGCCTGCAAAGCTTCGAGGGTATTCGGTTCGGCCATTTTGAGGAAGTCGGCGCGCTATTGCATGGCCTCAAAAGGATGTTTATGTCATGAGATTCGGGGAGGCCGCGAATCTGTCGCGTTGGCGAAAGGCGACCGGATCTGCTCGTTTGTCCGGTCGTGAGTGGTCTGCGCGGGCGACGCTTTTCGAGATGCCGGGAATTTTAGTGTGGAGCTCAGCAGCGACGAGAGGTGCTTGTCCTTCAACCTTGGAAGTGTGGCGTGCCGCAGGCGTGTGGACGGGTCGATGTTGTCAGTCCAGTGTCCAGGGGGCTGGTGGTGGGTGCCTGGACTCTCAGTGTCCAATTGGATGCATTGGCGGTTGCTGTGTCGAGAAAACTTTGCGGCTCCTGCAGATGTTCCGCGCCGAAGTCAACAAGAGACGTACCTGATCTATCCGTCTTAGGTAGGTGGTGGGACTTTCTGCCTCAATTTACTTGCGAGCAGGGACCAGGGCAGGGAAAGTCGCAAGCTGAAGGGAAGGTACCTGAGGTGGCGCAAGGAGCTCCCACGGTGCTGTAGGAATCTATGAAGGAGCTTTGTTGATTGCATACAGGCTGTGAAAGTGCCGCGTCTCACCGAATGATTTTCTGGAAGCTCATCCTGTGTTATACCTGAGCCTTGCGCGACACATTGAAATTGTTCGACAAGTCAACGACATATCAGCAAAACATAACCTTGGGGTGTCAATGTGACTTGTGAAACTTTACGTGACGCCAACAGTGATATTATCAGTGCCGGACTTGCAGCTCCGTCGCGACTTCCTTACCTCCATACCTTGATACATCAGTCAACACGCTCACGCCTGCCTTGACTGCACCCTCATGACGTTCAACGCCAAAAGGTGCACTCAAGGTTTTTTGCAGCAGGCAGTAAGGTACGTACATTACAGCTACGCTCTTTACCAGCCGACCATCCGCTGTCCGAGCCTACGTTGGTCCTCCAACCTTCATCAACTCTATTCATTTGGAAATAATTGATCCCTAACGAGGCCACAGGACGATGGCAAGCAGACCCTACCGGTCTCAACAACAATGGCCCCTCCAAAGATCAAGATGGGGAACGTTACGGTTAATGATGCGCTGGGTCAGTAACACCCTCTCCTACTTCTCAGGTTCACAACTGACAGCGCAGCAGATTTGATCGATGGGGGTAACATTAAAGAGCGGACCTCGGGCTTGGATGGTGAGTTTCGAAACCCTTCTCGCGGTGTCTCATTCCGTCTACCCATATTCTTTGCTTCCTCTTCTCTTCTCCTGCCTTGATGCAATCCGAGGGGATGGTGACAGTGCCCTGCTTCAGGACCAGGGATACTAACCATGGTGGTAGACCTGATATACCTCCTAGACAAAAAAGGCAAGACGTCTAGCTTGTAAGCACTCCTGTCACATGTTCATTCTTGGTCTTTGCTGACGAATGTTGCAGATCCGATCTTCGTGATAGGCACTACCACCACATACTTGAGAGTCTATTCAAATGTGCAATCAATGAAAAGAAGAGCTATACCGGCAACAAGCGGACGACGGCTGCGGTGGGAAGTAGACTGGGCAAATGCGCCGAAGCCCTTCGGCTTGCTGTCGGCCATGGAGCTTCTGCCGGCAAGCTCAAGAGGAAGACGATGCTTGCTCTCATTGACCATGTCACCCAAACCCTGCCCTGTCCAACTGGATCCGAAGACGGGCCATACGTGGAGCCATTGTTGAAAGACTATGTCAAAACCATCCTCGCCCTGCTATCCCATCAGTCAAATGTCGAGTATCTTGTTACACTTGATGCTACCGGGTGGAAGACCTGTATCGATTTCTGCGTCGATGCCGTGCGGGTATATCTCGACAATGCAGATCGAGACTCTGGCTCACGGGGATCTCCAGCACCGGGCACGGCATCTTTGGGCTTCTCTACTGGGAGAAGCACCAATGCCAGCCAAAGGACGCCGGGTCAAATCCATCGCGGCACCATACAGGACCTTGTTCATTGTATCCACCTCCTCGTCCGCCCGCCAAACGCGCCACTTCACGAAAGATATAGCGTTCTATCCGAGACTATCATTCAAGTACTGCAGCTGCGCCACCTTGGGTTGAGCCAAGTGATTCAGCTGAGCTTTGCTTCCATCAACAAAATCTTTGTCGAGATTCAAGCAAATGACATTTCTCAGGCTGCCAACTTGGCCAGAGACCTTGTGCCATTGATCAGTCACTGGTGGCAGGCGCGAACAGTGTCTCAGGATGAGATGCTTAATTCAATCCGGGACGAGATGCTCAAAACGATGTTGATCGTCCACCTCCACCTTGAGAGTCTTGTATGCCTCGATGGTGATGATACAGCCCGCAACGAGCTGAAAGGACTCGCCGATTCCCTATGGCTGGAGTACTCGCGACGCAGTAAACATTCACAGCTTCAACTCGACGATCTCACATTTGTTCCCCAAAGGTTGCCCGAGGACTATTTCACACTAGAGCTCTTCGGCCTTCGTATACACAACCAGGAGGGGGAGAGAAGATGGGCTTTGTGTCAGAACCTCGCCATCTTGGAGCGGATCATTTGGAAGAGCCGCAAACAGGATAACTTACAGTCGTCAGAGGAGCAACCGCGCAAAAAGCGTAAGACTTATGTTGCGGCGACGCGTTTACAGGAAAAGCTGCAGTCGCCCAGCTCGGCGGTCCGGATAATCGCCTTGCAGCTCGTGCCTTTTCTCCTCGAACTAAAGACTTTCTCTGCAGTTGAAGTGTCGGATCTTGTTATTGATCTTGCCGGCCTGGTAGGCGATAAGGACTCCACGGTAGTATCATGGGCTATGCTCGCTTGTTCCGGGTAGGCCCCCCCCCCCAAAAAAACTGCGTACAACTAAGATCGCCAAAACTAAGGACGCGAAGCTCCGCAATGTCACAGGTCAAGTCGGCCGATAACTCAGACTCATGGAGACAGCTATGGCAAGTAGCTTCTCGTGCAGTCGGTCTTCCCAGTGCCAGTCGTGCCGCCAGCGTACTCTTGCACACTATCCTTGAAAGAAATCTTGTACTTTATCACGATGTTTCCGATGACATCAACAGCATTGTCACGACTGCCGATGTCAACGGTCCAGCACTTCTGGTGGACTCTTCCATCACACTTATGTTTCATCTGCGGTCCCTAAGAAACGTCAAGCTGCCCAACGCAAGTCAGTCCACAAATCACCATGTCATTCGATGGATCTTCCGGATATGGAATCCAGGTAAGTCGTCATAGAAGCTGAAGCTATTCATCAATCTAACCACTTTTAAGCCGACTGGGGCTATGCTCGCGACTACTCTACCCACGCTCCGATTCCTGAACTTGCCAACCTGATTCGGGCTTGCTGCGGCGCACGACTTTTGGCCTCGACACCTTTGACAGTGTCCGGAGGTTCCATTTGCCAGGTCTGGAAGGCACAGTGGCACACGGCAGTCTTAACACGTTACCTCCTTCTTCTTGACGCACCACCATCATCGAAGTCGCGCACCCTCCCAAGCTCTAGTCAGAGCACTTCCGAATCAATTCAGGTCAACGATGCCTCTTTTCATGCCTCAAAGAGACTAGTATTGGAGCTCCTATTCCCAAAGGTCGAGGAATTACAAGATCTCTGTGATTCGTGGGCGAGAAAGGGGTCGGAGGGAGGCGCACTCATGTCGCCAGACCGACTCCACAGCCTCTTCTCTGCAAATATCATAGGCATCCTCCTTGCTACCCAGCTTGTCGACTTGAACTCGGGCCAGTCACGAGACATCGAGTCTACGTTGGCCAAGCTTTCCGAGGCCAGCATTAGTGCTGCTTCGAACTCGAGTGACAACCTAGTTTTCCAAGTTTTGTTGAGAACAATACGACCAGTGCTTCCGTCACTTAACACAGGGGGCATCAATAGTCTTGAAGACAATGCTCCACTGGCGAGGTTGGTCTCGATACTGGCAGCAAGCGTGGAAGAGAGATCTTTGCGACAATCCTCGGGACAGGATCAAGATCTTATGGAAGTGGACGATGATTTCGACTCGCAGGAAAGCAGGGTCAGCGTTACGCCATCTGAGGTTCCTCGCTCGAGCATTTCCATGAGTCTAGATGGGGAAGCATTCTTACATGAAACTATCCAACGTCTATACCATTGTGCGTCGATGCACAAAGATGATGGGAAGGTGTTCATGAAGCATCTATTGTCGCTCCCTGACAAGGAGTTCCTGTTATGTATCACCTTCACCTCAGAGCTTTTCGAGTCTGACTTGCCAATCAGTGCGGAAGATGCGATGGGTGTCATTGAGAAAATAGGCGACATTATTGGCGAGCCCGAATACTCCTACTGCGAAGTAGTTCACTCAGTCAGCTTGAGGATTCTGCAAAGCCTCATGCCGGTCTGGACAGACGACAAACAACCCATGGCCAAAATGGTCGGCGACTTGTACCATCACTTTGTCAGCAAATATCTGCCAAGCAACAGCCTTTCCCCAGTGTCGCAGATGTCTCTCTCGAGCCTGCTGCTTGCCCTTCTGAGGACCAGCCCACAGTATGGCAGCAATCTTCGCCTAGACTCTTGTCAAAGGACTTTACTGTCAATCATGCAAAACGGCACGCTGCCCGTCAAGTTTTTCATTGGGTCCGCTTTGCCGGATGTATTCGGCATCTACGTACTTAAGATGCATGACAAAGTCTTCCTTGACGTTCTGGAAAGTCTTCCTACCAATCCTCAAGACCTCGAAGGTATCGCGTTCCGTCTCTTCGTGCTGTCTCAACTTGCATGCCGCTGGCCAACCCTGCTTAGGAGATGCACTTATCACATCTTCGAGACGCCGGGGAAAATCATGCTGTCCACTCAGTATGCCAAGCGGTGTCTAGAGACGGTTTCGGAAGCCCTCCATCTGTCCTCTCCTCAAGAGTTATTCAGAATATTTAGCCCTCAGCTGCTATACACATGGCTCGCGCCCCTCGACGACGACGACAACGCCGCCGCCATCAACAACATCGAGGACATCCCATATGAGGTTTTCGGCTTCCCAACTCTTGACGCCCTTCTACAAGAAGCACAGGTCGAGACGACAGCGTTAGAGATAATGCGACGTCGCTTCGACAGCGTCCAGTCTCTTTCCGAGCGACTGAGTATCTCCCTAGCCGATATGGTGAAACAAGGGTTCACAAAGATCATGGCATACGCGATTGCACATGAGCTCAGTACGCCTAGCTCTAAAGGCGAAAGTGGTGAGACATGGGTTCGGAAACTTTTGGGCAAAGAGCCATTCCTCGACCAGATTTACTTGAACTTTGCCGACATTGTTGCTCTGTTGCTGGATCTTTTCGACCAAGAAGACATCATTGAGAAGTATCTCTCAAGAGACAAGAGTTTCGAATACGCCTCTGAGACATTGAACGAGATGAAGACATTCTCTCAGTCAACAATCCCCTTGCCGCCGAACCAACAACCCATGTTCAAGGCTAAGTTTCTCACCAGAGAGCTGTACCATTTGTGTCGCCAGACGGAGTACGAGCTACAAGAGCTATGGACACCGGCTTTGGTGGTGTCGGTCGCCCGAAGGCTTTTCAATACAGTCCATCCTGCCTTGGGCTCGTTCCACGCCTGCTCCGTGCTGCGCAAGGTTAGAGTTGTGATTGCTCTCGCTGGCCCCGTTGCGCTGGAGGCTTATCCTCTGGAAATGCTGCTTTCATCAGTTCGGCCGTTCATTGTTGACTCGGAATGCGCCGACGACGCACTTGGTGTGAGTCGATATCTCGTCACCAAAGGGGCCTACCATCTCGGGCAAACCCCATCATTTCTCGCTGGCTACGCCTTGTCTACTCTGGCATCTCTCAGGGTTTTCCTCGAGTCCAGTCAGTCAAGTACAACCCAAGAAAGTCAGTTCAAGGCGACCATGAGTAAAGCCCAGACTTTCCACTCATGGTTCAGTTCCTATCTCACAGGCTACGACTCGACCAACTTTGCTGATGAGCAGCAACGGGAGGCATTCCGCTTGATTACCCAGTCTGCGTCCAAAATTCGATCCTCAGGGAACGCCGAGAAGGGCACTCACGAGAGCACCCTGCTGATGGAGATTCTCAAGGATGGCGAACGCGAGTCGAAGCTCCTGAACGAGGCAGCTCGTGATCTAGCACTTGGGTTATTGTGTGGAGACTTCGCTGTGCCCACGACGGGTCGTCAAGATGTCATTTCCGACGACAACGATGCCCTGCGCCACACCGGACTTGTGTGGAAGAGCTGCAATGCGTTAGCTCTCAGCGACGAGTACCTCGCCTGGGCAGGCCGCGTTGTTGGCAGATCTTTCGCCGCTTCGGGAGAAATCCAATCCGAGCTGTTGGAAGAGTCCAAGTTATCGCAGTACAACAGGATTGCACCAGGAGCTAATGACTCCGAGAAGGGACTGCTTAATCTACTGCAACAACTCACTCAAAGCAAGGAATCTGCTATCGGGGGCTTGGCCGAATCGGCGTTGAGGGCAGTCGTCTCAGAAGCAGCAGCACAGGAAGATGTGGCGCTAGTCTCTGCCACCCAGCAGACCTTGATTGAATCCTTGTACTTGGCCTCCGCCTGGGCTCAATATCGCACGCCTCCTTCCGATTTTGTCCTGTCTCCGATTGTTCCTGATTCACAGGTCTTCTTCCGGGATCATGTAGAGAGTTCCGATTGGGTTCAGCAGCTCGCCGTCTACCTTGCGCAGTCGGTTTCCGAGTATATCATCCTAAGCGCGCTGGTACCAATTCTCAAGAACGTCAAAGGTTTCGCCCAAGACGCCTTTCCTTTCATCGTTCACCTGGCCTTATATAGTCAACTGGATAAGCAGCCCCACATCAAGCGCGACTTGTCGCAAGCCGCCAAGGAGTGGCTTAAAATCGAAGATGATGCTGCGCGGACAAACCAGAAGCAGCTCATCGACACAATCTTATACCTCAGAACACAGTCCATTCCTCAGGAGACATCCATCGCGGACCGGGCGTTGTGGCTCGATGTCGACTTCGCTGCCGCTGCCGCTGCCGCCTCGCGTTGCGGTATGTATAAGACCGCCTTACTGTTTACTGAGGTAGCCGCCTCTCAGACGGTTCGCTCGTCTAGGAGATCATCTGCAATCCGTGAGGAGGAGTCTACTGAAGTCCTTCTTTCGATTTTTGAGAACATTGACGATCCCGATGCCTACTATGGACTCCCACAGTCCGCTGATTTGTCGAGTGTACTGGCTCGATTAGAGTACGAGAAGGACGGCTCCAAGAACTTGGCCTTCCGAGGAGCCCAATACGATAGTCACATTCGGAGAAGAAATCCCGCATCACAGATTGATAGCCAGTGTCTTGTCAGAGCTCTTGGCACTTTGGGTCTGGCGGGTCTCTCCCATTCCTTGTTGCAGACGCAACAGAGCCACGACGGAGATGAAGCATCTTTGGAGAACACTTTCCAGACAGCACGCCGACTAGAGCTGTGGAATCTCCCTGTCCCAACAACCGCCGATAATTGTGCCGCAACCATCTACAAGGCGTATCAAAATGTCCAACAAGCCACCGACACGCTTTCTGTGCGCAATGCCATCTATGCCGGCTTCAGCCAGACTATGCGGAGTCTTGTCAGTCGTGGTTTGAATGCAGCCAAACTTCGGCAGCATCTCGGCGCCCTTGCAGTCTTAACTGAGCTTGACGACGTTGCCAACGTGGCTGACTTTTCTGAGCTGGAGGGTATGCTCGGCAAGTTCGAACGACGTGGCCAGTGGATGAGACGCGGAAGGTATGTAAAACTTTGGGTCGTCCCGTGATTTTGTGTTCTTTGCTGCGTTGTCTTTCTCATTTCCGTCTACTCAGACCTCCCACTTTGCTTCTGCTCACTGAATGTTCCCCACGCGAAAATAATTGCAAACTGACAAACCATAGGTACGAGGATGTCAGCCACCTGCTTTCTTGCAGAGAGACATCATTAAGCTTGATCAGCCAGAAGCCCAGGCTCCGTGCCCCGGCTTTATCAACAGCCGAAGCCAGGCAAATTGAGATCAGGTGCATGCTGATGTCCTCGGGCATATACCGCTTCCATCAAGCAACACAAGAGTGTCTGAATCTCTCTACGTCACTTGTGGACCTGATCGGACCATGCGACGAACTAGGTATCAGGGTTGACGCCGCCATCAAAATTGAGACAGCCAATTCATTATGGGACCACGGTGAAATGATCCACTCCATCCGCATGTTACAAAGTATCAATAGCGACTCGTCCCTCAAGAAACAGACGATTCCAGTCAGCCACTCAGACCTCCTGTCGAAAATTGGTCACCAGGTGTCGGTGGCCAAATTGGAGAAACCTCATCACATCCAGAAAAATTACCTCGAACCCGCTCTCAAAGACCTTAAAGGGAACACTCAGGGACAGCAAGCTGGGAATGTCTACCATCAGTTCGCCATGTTCTGTGATGAGCAGTTGCAAGACCAAGACAACCTGAAGGATCTAGCTAGGCTGCAGAGCCTGCGGAAGGGCAAGAGTGACGAAGTCTCTCAGCTTCAGGATCTCATATCGAGCACTCGCGATGCCCATCTCAAAGAAAGGTATAAGAATCACCTGGGAAAGGCCAATAAATGGCTATCACTGGACGAGCAAGAACTCCGCCGCGTGGAGCAGACGAGAAGTGAATTTGTGCGGCTCAGTCTGGAAAACTATCTCCTTTCACTTGCTGCCTCTGACGAGCACAATAATGACGCGTTACGATTCACGGCTCTCTGGCTGGAGCGTTCTGAGGAGTCAGCGACTAATGAGGCCGTCAAAAAACACCTTGACAAGGCGCCCACGAGAAAGTTTGCAACGCTGATGAACCAGCTCTCTTCTAGACTGCAGGATCAGCCGAGCTCGCCTTTCCAGAAGCTCCTGATTCAGCTCGTCTACAAAATCTGTCTGCAGCATCCATACCATGGGATGTACCAGATCTGGTCAGGCTCAAAGGTCAAGATCCGGAAGGAGGATCAAGTGGCAGTGCTCAGACTCAAAGCCACGGAGAAGGTGGCTTCGCTGCTGCAGTCTACCAGATCTGTCGCGGACATCTGGCAAGCGATCGACAGGACGAGCGCTTACTACCATCGCCTAGCTGTTGACCGAGATTCGAACAAGTTTAAGGCTGGACAAAAGATGGCGCTCAAGGACGTCCACTCGGCGCAATCGCTTCAAAATGCGCTGGCCAAGTACAAGATCCCTCCCCCGACTATGCAGCTCGAAGTATCAGCGACTATGGACTACTCGGATGTGCCCGTCATCTCAAAACTGGACCCACAGATGTCGATCGCATCTGGAGTCAGCGCACCAAAGATCATTACGGCAGTCGGGAGTGATGGCAAGAAATACCGACAACTTGTTAAGGGCGGCAACGACGATCTCCGTCAAGACGCCATCATGGAGCAGGTCTTCGCGGCTGTGTCGGATCTTCTTAAACTACATCGCTCGGCACAGCAGAGAAACCTCGGGATCCGCACGTACAAGGTCCTTCCTCTCACATCGGCATCTGGGCTGATCGAGTTCGTCCCTAATACTATTCCCTTGCACGAGTATCTTATGCCAGCCCACGAGAGGTACTTTCCCAAAGATCTCAAGGGCTCTCAATGTAGGAAAGAGATCTCAAACGCGCAGGGTAAGACCGTCGAGGCTCGGATTACCGCCTATCGAAAAGTCATGGACAAGTTCCATCCCGTGATGAAGTACTTCTTCATGGAGAACTTTGTCGATCCTGACGATTGGTTTGTCAAGCGCCTCGCATACACACGTACAACTGCAGCTATTTCAATGCTTGGCCATGTTCTCGGTCTCGGCGACAGGCACGGCCACAACATTCTGCTGGATAGCAAGACGGGTGAGGTCGTGCATATCGACCTGGGTGTCGCATTTGAGATGGGACGCATCCTTCCTGTGCCAGAGCTCGTCCCGTTCCGGCTGACACGAGACATTGTGGACGGGATGGGTAGTACTGGAACCGAGGGCGTCTTCCGGCGCTGCTGCGAGTTCACACTACATGCCTTGCGTGAGGAGACATACTCGATCATGACGATACTCGACGTCCTTCGTTACGATCCTTTGTACTCATGGTCCATTTCTCCCGTCCGCCTGGCAAAACTACAGGGAGGTGAATTTAGCACGGACGGCGACGAAGGTGATGAAGACGGTAGGAAGGGCAAGAAAGGGCAGCAGGTTAATGAGCCGTCGGAGGCCGACCGGGCTTTGGAGGTGGTTCGGAAGAAGCTGTCAAAGACGTTGAGCGTAACAGCGACGGTCAACGACCTGATAAACCAAGCGACCGACTTGAGTAACCTTGCCGTTCTCTACTCGGGATGGGCAGCGTATGCATAGATAATGAACAATTCAACCCTCAGGTTTGTAATACTTTCAATGATGATAATGTAGCATGTGTAAGATGTGTCTGTCGAGTTTGCAAAGGCGATTACGTCTGTGCCTCTCTCTCTGTGCCTCTAGAGGACCCAAAAAAAAAAGTAAAAAAAAAGAAGGTGTCTTCACAAAAGCTTTTCGATACAAATGCATATCTAAACGTCACACTATTGCAGCATCTACTCATTGCTGTTTCGAACAGGCGATTACATGGCAGCTTTCTCTTACAAGGTAATATCCAAAGCCAAGGCACCTTGAATGAAGGCTATTGTGGAGTGGCCCCGGGGACGATCGGGTGTTTATTGTGGTGGGGACCGTTTGGTGACATGGAACCGAACGACGAGGTGTGGGGGTCCGTGTCTTGCCTTATCTAATCCCTGTCACCGACGATAAGGGGATGTGCTAAATGGATGATGCTAACGACCGTGGTGGCGATTTGTTAATGGCGTCCATAGCTCCGCGTTTAACTCCGCGACAACTTTCCCGCAATCACGACTTCTGTACTCCCCAACCTCTCTGTGACAAGCTTCTCTGCAAACACCCGACAATTCACTCAAAAGAAGACAGCCGCCTGCGATTTCCCCCTGGCCATCAACCTGCCCACACCATCCCATCTCCACGAGAGCGCATAGTAGGTCTGTAACAGCTTGGACAAAAGTTGTTGCAGGACCACACGGTCCATGCCGTCGAATTCACCCCCCGCAGTCGAGGGAGCTTTGCCATCACGGGCGACGGGAAGGACAGGCGGCTCAGCGCCGGTCAGCGACAACAATAACCCTCTACGCCGAAGACCCCGCCAAGATTCCGACGTCTCGCGCTCCGGTTCCGTCGCCCCGCACCAGCAGCAGTCCAACAGACCGAGTCCGAAGCGCTTCAAGTTCGGCGCCGACGACCCTCCCCCTCACAATACCATGTCTATCAAGATGAAGGGCAAGCTTCCCGAGGTCATTGACCTGACGCAGTCCAACTCCTACCGGCCATATACGGGCGCGAAGAAGCTGGTCATCAAGAACTTTCGACACTCGGCGACCAACGAGAAGCTGGAAAAGTACTACGAGCGGACCGAGCAGGAATTGGTTGATGCTCTGCACGAGATCTTCAGCGGGCGCAAGCCGAAGCTGCCGCTGGAGAGGCTTTCTCGGGCCGTGGAGGATATATGCAGGCGCGGCCAAGATAGCGACTTGCAGCTGTACGAGACCTTGCGGCGAAAGTGCGAGGAGCACCTCACCCAGGATGTGCTGCGTTCAATCAAGTCTCGCGCCGGTAACACAGATTCCGACATGCTCAGGAGTGTTCTCGAGCACTGGAGGGTGTGGAATGGTCAGATTGTGAGTCCGTGAGGTGGTTGTCAACCCATGGCTTGGCATTAACGCTGAATAGATGACAATCCGGTCCACCTTCACCTACCTTGACCGTACCTACCTCATAAAGAACAAGAACCACCCTTCCATCAACGACATGACCATTTCGCAGTTCAGGAGGATGGCGTTCCCCGCTCGAGACGATCCAGATGGTCAGACGCCCGGTGGCAGGGCGTTACGGGGCATGTACGACCTGATTTCGTACGACCGAACAGGGGACGAGCGGTTCGAAGCGGCATTGCTCAAGGATTCAGTCATGATGCTTCACGTGTTCAACATTTACACCAAATACTTTGAGCCCCGTTTCATCGAGCTATCAGAAGCTTTCTTTGAGGATTTTGCAGAGGAAAGGAGCGCGTCGAGCCTGAAGGAGTATATCTCGGCCTGCGAAAGACTGTTGAAGAAGGAGGACTACCGCTGCAACGAGTACAACCTGGACTCAACAACCAAGAAGCAGTTGCTCAACGCAGCGCACGGCATCCTTGTGAACAAGTACTCCGACAAGCTTCTCAACAGTGAGAGTCTCTCTAAGCTCCTCTCCGACCACGAGGTGGACTCCATGAAGGCCCTATACGACTTGTTGCGACTCTCCGATATCCAGAAGAAGCTTAAGCAACCCTGGAGCACGTATATCAAGAATACGGGTGCTGCTATTGTTGCTGACAAGGAACGCGGTGATGACATGGTCCAGAGGCTGCTCGAACTCAAGAGATCACTAAGCCTTATCGTGCGCGACGCCTACCGCGGCGACCAAGACTTTGTCAACGAGCTCAGGAATGCCTTTGGAGACTTTATGAACGATCGCAGTATTGCAACGACATGGAGCTCCGGAACGTCCAAGGTCGGCGAGATGATTGCCAAGTACGTCGATATGCTGCTTCGCGGTGGGATCAAGGCTTTGCCGAAAACACTTCTGTCAGATAACGTAGACCGAGCTGCAGCGGAGCAGAGCGGCATAGCTAGCGCCGGCGACGAAGACGCCGAGCTCGACCGGCAATTGGACCAGGCTCTGGAGCTCTTCCGGTTCATCGAAGGCAAGGACACATTCGAGGCGTTCTACAAGAAAGACCTGGCTCGCCGTCTGCTCATGGGCAGAAGCGCTAGTCAGGATGCCGAGCGGAACATGCTGAGGAAGCTCCGAGAGGAGTGTGGTATGAACTTTACCCACAATCTAGAGCAGATGTTCAAGGACGTCGAGGTGGCCAAAGAAGAATTGGAAGCATACAAGCAGTGGTCAGAAGGCACAGGCGTGGATAAAGCTCCTGTCGACCTATCGGTTATGATCCTATCACAGGCGGCTTGGCCAACGTATCCCGACGTCAAGGTTCACTTGCCAGACGATGTTGCCAAGCAGATTGAGCGGTTCGACCAGTACTACAAGAACAAGCACACAGGCCGACTACTCAACTGGAAGCACGCGCTGGCACACTGCACTGTCAAGGCAAAGTTCCCCAAGGGTACAAAGGAGCTTCTCGTCAGCGCGTACCAAGCCATCATCCTCGTTCTCTTCAACGAGGTCGGCATCGAAGGCTTCCTGAGCTACGAACAAATCGCTCGTTCCACAAATCTGCAGGGAGAAGAACTGAATCGAACATTGCAGTCTCTCGCCTGCGGACTCACTCGCGTGCTTACAAAAAGCCCCAAGGGCAAGGATGTCAACTCGACGGACACGTTTACGATTAGCAAGACGTTTCAACACCCCAGGCTCCGAATTAAGATCAACCAGATCCAGCTCAAGGAGACCAAGGAGGAGAACAAGGCGACACACGAGCGTATCGCCCAGGACAGACGATTCGAGACGCAGGCGGCCATTGTACGCATCATGAAGAGTCGCAAGGAGATGAGCCACGGCGAGCTGGTTGCAGAGGTGATCAACTTGACCAAGAACCGAGGTGCGGTTGATGCGGCGCAAATCAAGAAGGAAATAGAAAAGTAAGTCACTTCCGTACGGTTGACGGAGCGTTGCTAACCCTCTCAATAGCCTGATTGACAAGGATTACTTGGAACGCGAGGGCAACACTTACACGTACTTGGCATAGAGTGGTGGTTGGCATAGCGGAAGGGACTCGTCCGAACCCAGTGGAGGGCGTAAGAGCACGCTGGGAAGACAAGGAGATGGCATGATTGATTTGTCCACGTACATACATGAACTCATTGAAAGAGACGCTGGATGGTGAAAGCGGCGGGCAAAAATCTAAAGGATCACAAACAACTAGAAAATTAAAAAAGAATGGACCACCCGAGATTTGAAGGCCAGAGTCCTGGAAGGAACAGGAGCATCACTGTTCCAGCCAGCACTTCGTGACCCCTCGTCCATGTGGCCCGGTACTTGTTGTTGAGGATTTAGCATGATTCACTCATCGCAAGTGCAATGTAAGTTGGCTCTACTATCCGTACAGAATGCCTGCCTTCCTTCACCGGTGCACCGACCACTCGATCCGCGCTCGGTGAGCTCGGTGACGATCCATGACACCCCTGCCAAAGACCCTGCGGATAATCGTTCCACCTAGCGCATTGCGGGGTTCCAAAAAAAAAAGTTGCGGCGGCGGTCCCTCCTGCACCCTGGGCGCCAAAATTTTGGGAAATTTTGTGCCAAAGGCGGTCGGCCAGAAATATTTCCCATTGAATAGTAGTGCCCGCGAAACCTCGACGATTTGCGCCGATTCCCACCAACCACCCTCCGGACTCGACGTACTACCTCACCCGGATCGCCCGTACACTTCCTCTACAGCAATTGAGGAAATTCCGACGAGAAACAGGTTATTGTTTAAGAGAGCGAAGACAATCTAGCACAACACCGCCAAGATGCCCAAGTCAAAGCGCAACAGAGTGGTCAACCTGACCCAGGTGAACAAGAAGACGCGCGAGCAAAAGGACAAGCTCTTTTCCAACATTCGCGAGTCGGTGCCGCAGTACCAGCACTGCTTCGTCTTTGGCGTCAACAACATGCGCAACAACTATCTCAAGGAGGTCCGCCATGAGCTTAAAGACTGCAGGTCCGTTCTTTTATATGTTTTTTTCTGTCTCTCTATCCAAGTACTTCCCTTCCCTACCCGTGATATTGGACCTATGGTCATGCAACCATGGCCGATACACTGGTTCATAAACGGAAACATATCGCAAGAACCAAGACAACCTCAAGCTAACCTCCTCGTTACCGTACAACAGACTCTTCTTCGGCAAGACAAAACTCATGGCCAAAGCCCTAGGCCAAGACCCCTCCTCCGCCGTCGCAGACGGCATCGAGCGCCTCACCCCCTTCCTCGCCGGCACCGTCGGCCTAATCTTCACCAACCGCGACCCGGCCTCCATCCTCGAGTACTTTGACGGCGTGAGCCCAGTCGACTTCGCGCGCGCGGGCACCGTCGCGACCCGCGAATTCGTCATCCCGTCGGGCGTCGTCTACGCCACCGGCGGCGAGGTCCCCGCCGAGCACGACGTGCCCATGGAGCACAGCATCGAGCCCGAGCTGCGTCGTCTGGGCATGCCCACGCGCATGGTCAAGGGCCGCATCTGTCTCGGCGGCGATGATAGCGGTGAGGGCGAAGGGTATACCGTCTGCAAGGAGGGCGATGTGCTTGATAGTCGGCAGACGAGGCTGTTGAAGCTGTTTGGGATTTGTTTGAGCGAGTTCAAGGTCAAGGTTCTTGCGTAAGCTTTTTCTCCTTTTTCTTTTACTCTTGGCCTCCATTGGCTCCCCCCCCCCCTACAGATTAAAGATTGTAGAGTTACTGACATTGCTGTACGCAGGTACTGGAGCTCTGCATCAGGCAAGGTGACCGAGGTGAACCCCAACGCCATGGACGGCGTCGAGGTCGAGAGCGACTGAACAAGCTAATTGCTATGATCAAAAGAACGTAAAAAACAAAACGAAAAGACAGCTTCTAGACTTTTGATGATTTGCTTTCCTCATGTAGGCTTGATACCATCATGGATTGCGAAAAGGGGTGGGTGGGACCAAACAAAAACAATTTTCACGGCGTTCAACGGGCGGGGGGCTTCACTAGATTATTATTAAAAAGTCATGCGTCACAGCATCAATCTCTTCCACATTAGTCTCTTCTCTAATGATTTGTCTCCTCCGTGTTTGGGGTGAATGGGAAGGAATCAAAAAAAGCAGTGGACGACGCTGAGCCATTATAGAGACCAGAAGTGCGGTCCTCTTCCAACGAGCAGCATCCGTTGTAGTCGATAGCCGAACGGTTTAACTGTCCCTTACCATGAATTTGGCAAAGGGGCAGGCCGGGCTGGCTCTATATAATGCCATGGGTAGTTCGTTTTTTTGCACATTTTTCGTCATACAAAATTTGGTGCCGGCTGATGCTCCCGCCGTGGCACACCCTTTTACAAAAGTACCTGTACATCGGATGGAATACTATCAGGATTTCAAAAGATCCCGAGTTCGAGCGGGCCTCTCGACAAGTCTTTTTGTCCTTCCATCGAAGCGGCAGCATCTGTTTACACATGTCACTTTTGGGGTGAGAGAATATGTGCTCCCTGCATCGACTAGTCACAACTCGAGGAGCCGGAAGATAGAAAGCTACAACGGAAACTAATGGTCCTCACCTATTCGTACAAGTAATTATAACGTGGTACATGCGGATTTACCCTATCCTTTTGATTGTTTCCCATGCGAATCTCCCTTCACTAAGCTCCAGGTCAGTAGGCACAGAGTCCCTTACCTCTGACCTTACCTGCAGCATCGAGCCATTGGCGAGGTTGCAACGGCAATCGTATCCCGGGCGGGTGTCGTATGCACGTGGCGAAAGTTTGCCTTTCAACGAAAAGCTGAATCAGTTCATTGGAAGTTGGCGGTCCGCGCGATGGTCTGGTTGTGAATACTGGCGTGCCTGGTATTTGCCTATACTTGCCCCAAGCTTATTGTTCGAGCTTTCCTTTGATCCGAATATGGAGATACTTGAGTTTCGCCCTTGACGCCTTCTGCTTACCCTCGAGAGAGAAGGGGAAGAAGAAAAGAGACTGAAAGAAGAGACGAGCGAGTCGTCACCCACCGCAAGACACTAAGTGTCTCGTCAGTAACGACGCAACTTGCGAGGATCCTCGTAGCCGCCGCCTTCGTAGCCTCGTTTCCTGCTGTCGTCATCGCGAGGTCGGTCGTAATCTCTGTCTCTGTCTCGGCCGCGGTCTCGGTCCTCTCTGTCGCCTCGATCTCCGCGGTCACCCCGGTCGCGATACCCACCTTCCCCTCTAGGTCTGATGGGCTCCATGTTGCTTCCAGTCCGTCGGCCACCATCGCGGTCCCGATCGCCGAAACGGCCTCCATCACGGTAGCCGCCGCCGCCGCCGCCGCCGCCGCCACCGCCGGATCTGTCGTCAAATGAGCGGCCACCACCACGGTCATACCCACCGCCGGAGAAGCTGCGGTCGCCTCGGTCGCCACGATCGCCTCCGAAGCCGCGACCTGGTCCCGAAGGGGCGTCTCTGGGTGCGCCGTATCCGTTTGGTCCGCGGTCACCACCCCTGGAGCCGAAGTCGCCGCCACCACGGAAGCCACCACGGCCGCCGAAACCTCCACCGCCTCCCCTGAAGCCACCGCGTCCGCGACCTCCGTCGAAGCCGCCACGGAAACCTCCTCGGAAGCCACCGCCAAAGTTGCCACCAGGTCCGCCACCGCCGCCCATGGGACGGGCAGGAAGAGCCTTGGTGTACCCTCTGCCACCGAGGCCGCCGCCGAATCGGCGGGGCACCCAGCCCTTGACGGTGCGGCCCCGTTCGACGTCTACCTTGATACGTCGGTCTTTGATTCGAATACCATCGCAGGCATCCAGAGCAGCTACTCACCAGTGCGCCAAGGCGCGTGTGTCAGTAAAACCTTAGCAATATCATACCTTTGCATCGTGACTGGGTAAAAAGAAGGAAAAACATGATTTGAGATGGGCAAGCTTGAGGGCCACAGATCTCGATGTGCAGTGCAGAACGCGGGCAAGCCTGAGGGCCGCGCGCCTGGAGGGGAATGACTGGCGAACAAGCCGAGTCTTGTCGAAGGGGGTGGGTTCGGCGGTATTACCTCTCATGTCTTTCTCTCGTTCAAATACTACAAAAGCATACCCTCGGTGGGGCTTCTTCTTCTTTTTCGGTCTCTCATGAGCATGCGTGTCAGTGATGATGCGGATCTAGAGAAAAAGTTAGCTCGGTTCAAGGTATACAGATGTATTTGAGGGACACATACGCGCTCAATGGGGCCGAATCGACCAAACTCTCTCTCGAGGTCTTGCTCATTGGCCTCGTACGAGAGTCGCGCAACAATCAGGGTCTTGAAAGCGTCGCCACGAATGTTGGAATCCTCGTGCGGCTTGACTAGATGGTGGAGACGTTAGCATGGACTCTCGATAGATGGTGACTAGGGGAACTAACAGTCCTTCGGCCCCTCGGTCTTGAGCCTCTCGACAGCTGCCACCTTTTCGAGCTTCTTGCGGTCGCGCATCTGAAGCCAACTTTCTGTCGGCTTGTAATCGTCCTCCTCCTTGTATTGCTGAAGCGCGGGAAGGAACTCGGCAAGTCCGGAGACGGGGAGGGTTCGTCGAGCCTCGGGCGCATGGTCGGGAGGCGCAACCCATCGCAGAGGAGGGCGCGGCGCGAAGAGCGCCAACAGATTAGGAGGGAGCTTATCCGTCATCGCTGTAGTTGCTCTTCGTCAAATGTCCGATGGGTGAGGTGTCGTCGGCTCGGGTGAGATGCGTCGCGCCTTAGCTAATGATGCATCGACGGAGCTTGGTGGATTGGGATGGATTTGGAAAGGGAGCAGCGCGTCGTCAGGCAAGGTAGAGGAAATTGACACGAGCATGGGAAACTTTGTGGTGCAGCAGCCTGGCTTTGGCCAATCGCCGCGGTTCAGCCGAAGCCATCCTGGTCGCAGAGCTTCCATGGAAGGTACGTACCTCCGCAAGCTGTCACCTCAGGCTGCATCTTGCATTTTCGCGCTAAGAAATTTCCCGTCCCTGGAAAGGAGCCTCTCGTGATCCAGACTACGAATGGGATTCTGTGCGCCAAGCAGGATACCATGACGATCAAGGCATTGAAGACGGTGTCTACCGGCCGTGTAAGTTCCTTAGAAGACGATTTGACTGGAGTTTACTGTGTTACTGTTGCTGACGCTCCGACAGAATGGCCTCGGCTCTTTCATCCTCCAGTGCAAGAAGCTGGACTTTCACTACTGCGACTGGGCCGGCAGCTCCAAGGGAATGAAGTACGCCAATTCCCCAGAACGACAGTGTCGATTTCTTTTGCTAACAATCGTCTAGCGGCTTCATCAAGTCTCAACTCCCCAAGTTCGCGGCTGCAAACCCCCAAGTCGAGTTCACCATCTCTCCTCGTCCGTCGAAACACCCCATCATTGTCGGCCACTACATCAACGGCCGCGAGAAGGCCATCTGCGTTCGGAACATGGAGCCAATCGAGATCTTGAAGAAGGCTGAACTTCTGCGCGACGCCAACGGAGAAAAGCTGAAGAGGGTCAACAAGCCGGTCAACAGTATCAACCCCAGTGTCAGAGGTGTCTGGAGTCCTTACCACGGCAATGGCATGGCTGTATAAATATGAGGGGCATAAGCGTATCGATTTGGAAAACGTGTAAAATTACGAAAGGAACTAGGCGTGTACAGGAAGAAAGCGGGAGCTTCTTTGCTGCGTGTACCATATATTGACCCGTCAGGGAGGGCAAAGAGTACCCCTTTAAGCACTCAAAATTCAAGAATCACAAATACCTCACAGGGTCCAACCAACGTCAATTATTGGGGGTATTATTTTTATTCAATTCTTCGACCTTAAGGAGTTGGCGACTACGAATGGTCACTTTGGGGTCATCCTGGGTCTATCCCGGCCCATCACGGCCTGTTTTTTTAGGTCATCATCATCATCAAGTGTGTAATCTGGTTTGTTTACTGCTTGGCGTTGACAATGTCGACGACTGCGGCGTGTTAGCTGTCTATTCATGACTGTGCACCAGAAATACTCACAGCCAGGCTTCAGGGAGGCACCGCCAACCAAGAAACCGTCAATGTCCTTCTCCTTGGCGAGGTCCTTGCAGTTCTTCTCGTTGACACTGCCGCCGTAGAGGATGCGGGTCTCGTCGGCAACCTTGTCGCTGACCTCCTTCTTGAGCCAGGCGCGGATGGCGGCATGGACCTCCTGGGCCTGGTCGTTGGTGGCGACCTTGCCGGTGCCGATGGCCCAGATGGGCTCGTAGGCAACGACGACCTTGGACCAGTCGGAGATGGCGGCCTTGAGGGCAGCAAGCTGCTTGCTGACGACCTCGACGGTGGTGCCGGCCTCGCGCTCCTCGAGGCTCTCACCGCAGCACCAGATGGCGCCGACGCCGTTCTCGGTGGCGTACTTGGTCTTGGAGGCAACGACCTCGTCGGACTCGCGGAGGATGGTGCGGCGCTCAGAGTGGCCGAGGATGGCCCAGTTGATGTTGCTATCCTTGAGCTGAGAGACGCTGATCTCGCCGGTGAAGGCACCGTTGGGCTTGTCGAAGACGTTCTGGGCGGCAACCTCGACATCCTTGCGGAGCTGGTCGCGGACGAGCAGGAGGTAGATGGCGGGAGGGGAGACGACGACCTCTGCAGACTGTCAGAGGAGCTCACGGGGTGGGATAGTATTGGGAAGACATGGCACGTACCGGTGTTAGAGTCGAGGGTAGCGTTGTTCAGGTTCTGGACAATCTCCTTGATGGCGGAAACGGATCCGTTCCTGCGAGGTTGATGTTTGTCAGTCTCACGATGTTTTGGCTGAGGCCGCAGCTTCCAGGCTGCCCCTCTCCGGTAGGGTGGTGCAGAGATCGTTGACCCCGCCATTGGGACAAAACTTACATCTTGAAGTTGCCGCCGACGAAGAACTTGCGTGCCATGTTGGGCAATTGGTGGTGATCTGGTGATACGTGGGAGGTTTGGTAGGATTGAATATGTCTGAGTTTCCGTCAGGAGTGAAAGATCAGATCAAAGACTTGGGTGTAAATGACGCAGGATGGGTTCGGACAGGAGCTTCGAAGTGGTAAAAAAGACCTCAGGGTTGGGTCACGTCAAAAGCTCCAGCGCGAGGTGGGCTGCGCTTGTCTCATGGAGGGGCAGAGGGGCTGCGCAGGAGGGGCAGCTGCCCACCTCGAGAGTGCCGCCAGAGTGCCGCCGCTGGCAGGCCGAGTACCAAGTTAGCAGCAGCAGCAGCAGCAGCAGCAGCAGCTGGCAGTGGAGAGTGGCAGCACACAATCAGCAGTTCCGGTGGGGCCCTCAGCGGCCCCGGTCTGGCCCGGAGCCTGCAGCTCCCCCGCACTCAACCTCACTGCAGTGTCCAACCTCACTACGGATTGGTACCTTGGCCCAAAGTGACCTGAGCGTCCGTCTGCCGTGGGCTGAGACCGTCCGCCCCTCAACAGTTTTCGTGCCCAGTCGGACCGTTCTCTTCCTTTCACCCCCGGAACGTCGAGTCTCTCATTTGATAACCCAATCGGATGCCTGCTAGCTGCCAGGCGAGTGGCATGTCTGGTAGTAGAGAATGACAGCTATGTAGGTCCCCTCTGGAAAGATAGTGTGTAATTCAGTCAGGACAACGGATCGACAACTAGGTCGTTAGAGCAAAGCAAGGACCGGCCAAAGATGCTTCTTCATGAACGGCTTGAAACTTGACAACCCCAGACTCAGTCTCCAGCAAGATTGGTTTTCCGTTCATCTCATTCAATTTGTAACTTGAGGCGTCAATATTGCACCGGGAGAGGCAACGATCCAGCCGCCGGGTTTCTGTGAGGTAAGGACCTCGGCCAACCAGCCTACGAACCCTGTTTCTTCCGAATATAGGGTTACTTGACTTCCGTCTCTCATTAGCCCCGGCAAAGGGACATCATCGATGGACTTTCAGTAGCAGACAACGCCATCTCAACAATGACCATTATTCAAGCTACGCTGTCCATAGAACAAGCTTACTTGTCATGCTCTGCAATGTGGACACTACGCCGCAAAGTCTAGACTGAAGTCTTTGAAGAGGGCTCTGTGTAATGTCTCAATAATGATGTCTCCTTAATCTCGGCATCCGACATATCCCTTCGTCTAATCAAGTCTGTCATGGTTTAGTTTCTCACCAAAAAACGAATACAATACCACTTCCACGCGTAAGCCCTTGCTGTCAAAGCACCCCAATCTCTTGGACTGTTCCAAGACCGCGAGTCTGGCGTCTTCGATCCGGGGGCATCAAAAGCAAAGCTACGCGACCCCGTCTCAGATATTTCACAATCACGATGTCAACAAGATCCAAGACCGCTGGATCCGGGCGATTAGAACAATCCTAATCAGTGTCTCGTCCAATGCAAAATCCATGATCTGTAGCTGGAACCCCAGTCCAGGTCGCCAATCGATAATCTGCAATATTGATTGTCTTATCCATGCAGCATCCCGCGCCAGGGCACGGATCGCCTTGGTCGACTTGCCCTGAATTTTGGATCTTCGTTCCCGGATGGCATCCTGACATGAGAGAGAAAACTTGGCAAGGGAGCGTGATACGGTCTGCGATGTTGGCCGTGCTCATTTTCCTTGCGTCGCGCTTATCGAGATATTCCTTCATCTGGCCAGAACTACTTCAGCTCGGACCTGCCCAGATCCTAGCAACGTCGTGATGGCTCCGAGTCGTGATCAAAACCGTATCCGTTGTGAGACATCGTCGCAATCGATTGTGTTGTACCAAAAAGGAACTCCACGAGAAGCAATTCTTCCATTACTCGTCAGACCAATACGTCTTTTTGCCCCATCTCTGCCAGTGTTCAAGGAACAGCTTGCAACGCTAGACCCGAGCGGTCAGTGCTGCTTGCAACGCAACTTTCATGGTCATCAGAACAGCGGCGAAGCAGGTCTGACGTGGAGTTTGCTGATCGAAGAGACGACTTCCAGATCCAATGCCGTGTAAGTCGACCACCGAGCTCGGTACCGGGTCCATACTCCCCGTATCTGGCTTTTAGACGTAGGCTTAATTCCCCTAGGTCCCGTTTAGTGCCGACTTCGGCATATGCCTTCGCTTCATCCTTCTGTTGTTGCGCCGGCTAATAACTCGAATTATTCTGAGCAATCATGAGCAGAATCCTCATTTCTTCGAGTACAGTGAAACCATTCTCAACTCAGATAGATGCAGGCAGGTGCAAAAGGACCGATGACACGCGTTCGAAGAGATAGACACTCTCTGGAAATTAGACGAGTCCACGCCAGACTGGTGGCCTCTGACATGGGAGAGACGGATGGCAGTTGAGAGGCATGTAGTAAGGTGCAAGAATGGGCGAGCCATAGCACAGAGCACACTGTACTTGAGATGTGATGGTCTTGCCAAGAATCATCCTCTTCAGCATGCTTCCGATGTTTCACGAGCACGCGCTAGGCGGCATGAATATCGCGAGTCCCCGTCAGAAACACATTGTCCTCTCACAATCCGTCATACGAGGCGCCTGGGCATTCTAGAAGTCCAGCGTCGTCTAGAACCCATCGTCTGCTCGTTTCCCGCACAACAGATGGGAGCATTCCAGGCGGTATAAGTGAACCCATGTCGAGCGTCGTTATGATTAAGTCGGTCACGTAAGGGGCCAGCCTCCGGGGGGCGCAGCTGATGGCAGGCCGGACACACGTGGGGTTGACAGCCCCGGCCTGATCTCAGGGCCCAATCGCATCTCCATCAGCCATGATCCAGGCCGGGGGTCTTGGCTTCACGTAAGGTAGCTCTCGACGGGCAAGCGGGAGAGAGAGAGAGAGAGAGAGAGAGGGCTGAAGTCGTTTTTCTCCGTCGCCGGGGTTGTCCGCTCATGACAGGAACACCGGGACCGAGCTGTGCGTGCGCAACACCATTTTGCTGTCGACTGTTCAGGGCCCCAATCATCGTGTGCCGGTTGAAACAGCAGCATACGGGGGTGGTTCGGAAACGGCCCAGAAATAGCAATCTGGCCACCCAGCTATCGCGCGTGGTGGCTGCAGAAAGAAATAATACGACATCCAGATCAATGGACCAGTTCGTTCCATTGAGTGTGGCGAGATCGACAAACCCAGAGGAACTAGATCGAAGAGCTATTGGATTCGGCCTTGAGAGAAGGAGTTGCTGATGGCTTGGGAGATGTCGTCTGATCGATGACTAAGATCGTTTTGTGTGTGGGTCAGCTTATCGTCGTCCACGAACCGAATGGAAGCCTCAACTTCCCACTGACACCTGCTGTCAACTCCTTGCCAGCTAACGACTTCACGTCAACGTACGCCATCCTATTCCATCCGCTTGCATGCAAAGCCGCCTCTTCGCTTGATGACATGCGTACCCTGTCATTCACCGTTCGTTAGACAAGGTAGCATTGGAGCGCCACCAGTCATGGGAACGCCCAGATCCGATGTGATAGGGACCGGAACCTGACAGGCCAAGACTAAGGTACCATATCAGGGAGCGGCCGCATCGCGGGGGCCTTGCAGCATAGCCTCTGGGAACACGATGGTCTGTCTCCAGCCGTATCCATAAGCCTGTCCAGGATGTCGAGATCGAATAGGCGGAAACCGAATTGGGCCTATGGCGTCCAACACCCTCCGACACGTACGGTTTGGTCATGCCCTCGCCCGGTCGTCAATGCGCCATAACGAACCCAAAACCCGTGCGTCCTGCCAAGCTCCAAACAGTTCTCTACCACAGTGAGCAAAGAGAAACGAGAAGGCGGCGCGGCTTCGAAGACGACTCGCCAATCCGGATTCTGGATGCAAACATTTCTGATCTTCTTCCAGGAACACATTGTCTTCCCCACCTTTGAGCCTGCTTTCCGCTACGTTTACCGGCCGCCCACCTCCACCATCATGATGATGTTCGGACCAGGGCCGGTTTCTGAGTTTGAATGCTTTCGCCAATGAGCACCTTACCGCTGGAATGAAGCCGTCAGCGGCCAACCCGTCTGTCAAATAACCTGCCAGCCTCCCATGACATGTCATGCTCATGATCGCAGGCCTGGCGCATGACGTTGGCGATCGTGAATGGATTCTGACACTGTTGACACCCGGGGGTGAAAGCTGTCTCGGTAGCTTCAAACTGCCTCCGCTGCGTTAGCGGCAAATTAATCCTGGTCCCTGAGGGTTGGTCTGCCGCGCCAAACGGCCTAGTCAGCTGTTGAGCCTCCTCAGCCGGAGAAACGATATTGTCACCCCAGGCGCCCAGCTGCAAAACCAACGATAGGGCTGGGAGATGTTCTCGCCCACAACGGCTTTGGAGGAGCGATGCGACGGTGCCGCAGAAGATGACTTACGCAAAGAAGCAAAGCGCCGAAGTCTACTGCCTTTCCGGCTCCTCTCACACAGACTTGCAACCGGCCAAGGTGCCGTGGGCTCAACGGAGTAGCATCCGTTATTCCCTTTTCAGCACCGCCCCGTGGATATCCAATGGACACTGAGAGAGACAACACGACACGACACCACCAGTTCCTCAAGAGAACCCCGGTTCAAGCCGGCAGTGCGGCCTTGAGAATGTCTCGCCAGCACTCACTCCTCGCAACACTCCCCCCCGCAGTGCCGTGCCAGGGATGGGATGGCCACCATCGAGACCGAAAGGATATATTGGCCGGGGCTCGCATCACCATCTTGATGTCACAAGCAGAGTTATGCTTTGCCATTGCCTTCATCCGTTGATTAGGCTCAAGCACGGTCACCACCGCTGAAAAACGTTCTTTTGCCCTCTCATTCGATTTGCCCATCCCCCCCCTCGTCCAGTGTCCTCCTCGTCCCCGCGTGTACTCGGGCCACCTCAGACGCCGCATAGGGAAGGAATAAGGAGGAAAATCTCCCCAATCCTGTCCTACACTTTCACGTCTCAGCAGTCGTGGCCAACTCCCGTATCTCCATGATGTTTACGCCATCTACGATATGAGAATCCCGCCTGTAGAAGTCATTCTCAGTTGGCCGACCCCAAACTTCGTCAACCCAGTCACGAGAGGCCCGGCCAACGAGATCGTTGCCATCATCCTACTGGTCATCGCCACCGTTATCCTCGCCATCCGGATCTACACACGACGATGGATCACTAACGGGTTCGGCTGGGACGACATCCTCGTCGTACTGGCCTTCATTCCAGCTACGGGCTTCGTGGTCCTTGGGGTCATCGCTACAAACAGCTATGGCTGGGGACGGCATGTCTGGGACGTGCCTACCGAAACCATCACAGGATCCCTCCAAATTGGCCTCGCTAGCCAGATCCTGTTTGACTTGGCGACGAGCTTCACCAAGTTGTCCATGTTAGCTCTGATGTACAGAATTGCGTGTGCGGCTTCGAATAAGCTGAGGTTGATCGTTGTGGCACTTCAGGCACTCATTTCCGTCAACTGCGTCGTCTTTATATTAGTAGCTATGCTGCAGTGTCGGTAAGTGCTCTCTGTTGATGCTGAAAGACACCCCAGTACTGATATATCCAAGGCCTCTCAAGCTTTACTGGACTCTCTCCCTGGAGCCGCATAATTGCATCAACGAATCCGCTCACCTCCTCGTTGCCGGAACCATCAATACCGTCACCGACTTTCTCGTGGTTCTCTTGCCGCTCGCCCTTGTGCGCATTGTCTACGCCAACAAGCTTACCTCAAGACAACTAACCATTGTCAACCTCTTATTTGGTGCTGGATTTCTCGCATGCTTTGCTGGCATCGCTCGCACATACTTCACATGGATCATGACTACGGAGCCCGACGCGACATGGAACGCCTGGATCAACTGGCTCGTATCTTGCCTGGAGCTATTCCTCGGCATCATTTGCACAAGTATTCCTTCTACAAAGCCATTCTTCAACAAGTATGTTCCAAAGTTCCTCGGCACCAACGCACGTAAAACTCGCGCAACGACGGAGCCAACACCCACCGACAAGGCCACCACCGGTTCAGCGAGGACGAGTCAAATGTCAAATGAGCCCGCGGTGAAGGAGCTCGACGTTATCCCCTCAAAGTCCCCCGCCACCAAAAGGTTTAGCGAAGGGACGCTCAACAAGCCGTTACCAGCAGTGATGAAGAATCACTCAGTCTACACTATCAACATCCAACTGGACGAGGCCAGTCTCGGGCCCGCTGATAGGTCTCCCGACAGGAGAAGGGCCCCCGGTGGTCGAACGACGGAAAAGTCGGACATTGCCGTCAACAATTTCAGCCGCCCAAAGATCCAACATGTGAGGAGCAATTCAGAGCCCTCAAGCCAGCACCGGCCCAGTTTCAGCGCTGAAGACGACCGGCCTGACAGCCACCTTACGAATGCATCGGGAGAGAGCAGTCGTCACAGTCGTCACAGTCAGATTCTTTACGAGGTTGACGACATCGTCTACCGTGAGAGCATCCGCCAGAACATTGACGACCTCGAGGCAGGCATTCGCTATGGGACCTACGACCGCAGCAGTTACACCGCCGTACCCGCGCCTCTGCGGAAACACGCGAAATCGGATCTGTCGGTACATTCGGGGGCTAATTGACGGGCCCAAAAAAAAAAAAAGCTTGTCCAACGTGTACAAACCTTGCAACAGACGGAAATATCCATTGTGTGTTTCTTTGGGGTAAAAGACCAGGAAGGGGCGGCTAAAGAATGTTTGCTCAAAGAGTTTTATGATACACCCTCAGGAACATGAGTTCCTGCATTTCACTTCCCTTTACGGCCATGTTTATAGTTTCTTACCTATTTAAGCTTCTCGGGAGCCAGACCCGAGCTTTAGTCGACGAAGTCAATGACTAGTAATTCAGACTTCTTCCTTGTCACGCTTGTTTCCCTTTCTTCGTGTCAACAGCGCCGCCATCTCCCCATTTGCCTCTCATCTCATTTTTTTCTACAAAACTCTTAGTCAGCTCTCACCCACACCCTCTCATTGAACAATGTGAACTTTCGTCCCGGGTTGGTCCAGACGGGCTGCCAGGAGTGAGGTTTTGTTTGGCTCGAGAGCCCGGTCAATTCACTTTTTCCGTTTCTTACAGAACACAGCGTCAACTGTCCGCCTCTCCCCCTCGGCACCATTCCCGACGGCGGCGGCGGCGGCCGAGCGCAAGGGGGAGTAAAGAAAACTCTCGCTGCCATCTTGTCCGTTGACCATATCATCAGCTCATCACTTGCGTTTATCGAGGTTACTGCTGACCATCATGCGGTCCTTCCCTTCTGTTACCCCGACTTTTTGTTCGGCGCCTACTCCTGGGCAAGCATGATTTCTTGGCCGTCCTCTCCCCAATGATAAGTCGTCCTTCCCGCGACGGCCGCCTCGATAAGCCCTCTCACCCGCATTCCCGTTTGAATTCAAACTTGTACCTTTTCTTCGGCGACGACCGTCCGGCCCCCCCTCGTCACCACCCAAATAGCAGACATATGATCCCAGATTAACCTAGTGATGTAGAACAAGAAAGGCTGCCTACTGCATGCTGCTGCTGCAGCCCCCTATAGCAAGGCCCGCCAGCGTCCCGCTGCAGAGTACGACCTTGATTTCTTTTGGGAGAATCTCTACATTCTCTGTCCATCAGTCCACCTCCACGTAGCAGGCTACAAATAAGCCGTAGACGCCATGGCCGCTTCTCCCCCTTCCTTGCGTGAAAGTCAGTCCTTGTTTTCTGTCCTTTCTTGCTAGCCGCGTATGCTGTGCGCACGGTCTAAGAGAGTAGGATAGGAAGAACGAGGTGACGATCTCAAAGAGATGGTGGAAAGTGAATCTCTAGATCGAACGTTGATCCATCGCGAAAACCCGGTCATTGGGGTACCTCGTGTCGGACAAAAGGGGACCTGGCTTGATAGTCAGGATCCTTTCGTCATGGTCCTTCATTGCATGAGCGAGTAACATCTCGCCGTTCTATGAAGGAGCCTTCCTTCAGGATGAGAGGTCCTTCAGGATCGCCACTGTCGTATCGGCTCTTCTTACCTTCACATGAACTTTTCCAATTTTGACTTACAGCCCGGCTTACACTCTCGCTATCTCACACATATACTCATACACGCATACGCGCAAGGCCGATCAAACGGAAGTCTAGGTAGACTCAAGAGTAGAAACTAGCTACGGCGACGACGAGAAAGGCTATAATGGCATATCATCAAGTAAAGGGGGGGGGGGGGGGGGTCGAAGGCAGTGGCCACCTTGAAAAAACCATCTGGTGATCAGACTGACCGTCGCCTGTTGAAGTCTCTTCCGCGCGCTTGCAACCCCTGGACTTCGCCGCTCGCCTCTTCGGCCCTTTCCTCCATGACCTTTTGAAGTCCAAGGTTTTGCCTTTTTTGGTGTTTGCCCAAGGTCGACAATCATGGGACACACACACACACACACACACACACCCCATAGAGGCTTTTGTTCATCCTCGTATCATCCATCCGTATCCCTCGTCTCTTCTTCATGCGGCGGGGCATGCTCTTCCCGCTCCTCTACACTTCTCTCTCTCTCTCTCTCTCTCTCTCTCTCTCTCTCTCTCTCTCTGACCACCACATCAGACTCTTTTCACTCACATATCCATGACACGACCCAAACGTGCCCCATATCCCCTCCATCATCTTCACTCGACGGTTTGATCATCATCCAATTCTTATCTGATGTTTATGTTCCCCCTGTTGAGGATATATGGTGTTCACGTCTAGATCGGCTTTCAGGGGCTCGCTGCACAGTCGGTGTTCTTGCGAGCTATTCGGGTATGCTCAAATCGAGGTTTCCCAAGTAATTTGTTCTTGTTTCCCATGAGCCGCGATGACCTTGTGCTCCGTGTGTTGATAATAAGATTTGCGTGTCGAACCGGGAAGTCCCAGACCAGAACACATGATGTGCCCATCACATCCAAGGAGACAACGACAACGATAGTAGCACAACCGTTGTAAAAAATAGTTGTCGTGTTGGTCGAGCACTCCAGTCGGAATCTGTACTCACATCACCAACCATGCTACGACCAACCTCCTCAACCCTCGTCCCATCACGGTGAACCAACTATTCAATAGCCGACATGCTTCTTCGTCCCCCAAAACCACCACAACAACTAGTACGCCCAGCGGCAATCGGCTACGAACCCCCCATCCCTACCCTTCCCCTGGATCTCATGCCGCGAAAGCTAGCCCGTACCCCATGCCATTGCAAATCACGATCACGTCCTCGAAGCGGGAGACTAGCACGCCTCCACCAGATCCAGAGAGTAAGGTAGTAAAAAGCCTAATTAACTTACACGCGTGGCTCCCTACAACCCTCGCCAATACCACAGAGTCGTTATAGATCTCCAAGTCCTCTCCCACCTTGGCCACCTTTCTCCCCAATGTCCCCTTTTCTTTGCAAGTTTCTTACCCCTAACCATGTCCTATCGACGGGTCATAAGCGGGGTGTTCACAACTATAGGTAGTTTACCCCCCCCCCCCTTATCCTCCCGGTAGCAAGAAGCTCTCCAATCCCAATCTAGAGACCTCACCTTGACGCTGACGTTGAACCCCCCAAATCACAATCTCGATCCCGTCAGGAACAAGTAATACTACCCATATGAGCCCCTCCTCGTCAGCAGTACCCGCCACTCCCTTCCAAGCCAAAATCGTGATCACACTCCCAAGCCATAAGATCGCACCCTCGAGCCCTGATCTCGAGATACCATCAGCAGACGTACGTAGTAGGCCATTGCGATATTCCCATGAGAAAAGCAAGACTTCGTAATCCCGGGCCCTTCGACCGCGCGTCGTGTCTTGCTAGATGCAGGTTCCTGGATGCCGAGAGGGATCGAGATATCGCCAGTTCATTCCCCCGTCCATGCCCGAGCACCGCCTTCGGGAGGGGTAGGCCGGAAGAGAGGAATCGCAAAAGGCAATAAAGTATAAATCTAGACTTGTTAGATGGAAGCCAAGACCAGAGTTCACCATATCCATCACGTATTATATCCCTTAAACCTTTCTGCACAACACAAGTGAAGACCCTCGGCCAAGTTGCAAGCACGACATCGAGATAGACCTTGACTGGAACTGGACCTAATACACCCGAGATAGATGAGAATACCTTGAGAATGCTGCTGTCTCCCGCCGCTGGAATGTCAGTCACCGAAACATTCCTCTCCAGCTCTTACCATTTCGCTCTTCTTCAGAATGGCAGGCCAGGGACAAGGTCGTACTTCAGTCAATGCAAATCCACGAGGGGCACAAGGAGTTCTGCGCCATTTTTCTTTCATTTTTAAGCTATTTCCCTTGTTTCGTCTCTTATATACTCAAATAATCTAATTCCAGTTGCTGTTGGTCCATTTCGAGTCTGTAACTTGCCACATTTGTGGCGGAGCCTCGCGCTGTGAGGGCTTTCTCCCAATTCCAGTTTCAAAAAAAAATAAAAAAAAAATACAAGTTCTGTTGTGTGTCGAGCGTGAGCTCTTACATGTACCCTCTTCTAATAATCCCATCGTGCGTAAAATCAAAACAGTGTGCCTTCCCTTGCATCGCACTCCCTCCATCTGACCGCGGCGCGGCCTTCGCTAGAGCGCATTTACTGGCTCTTGAGTACTCCTTGCGGTGTATCCGTTGGCTTCAATCCTGGGTATCCGTTGCCGGGCGGCAAAAAGTATCCATCCGGAGGTGTGGATATATCCAGTGTGAGAGAAGTTCATTGCGACACGAGGGACTCGTGATAGCGTGATGGTTTCCTCAGCGACGTACAACGTCCACAATTTAGAGGATCGAGTTGTAGTCGAACATGCCCGATGCGCTTGCATTCGGAGCTGATAGCATTCTGTGACTGGCATAGTCAAGTTCTGCAAGTAATGACCGGTCAGTGGGAAGTCTTTTTTATCGACGGTGTATAGTGGGCTTTTACGGACCAAAAGTAGGTTTGTTCATCCGGCGTGGACGTAGTTGCGGTGGAAGGGCACCTTGGAATCCATGGGTTGAACGGTGTTCAAGTCGTGTCCGATCTTGCCCATGGCGGACAGCAGGTTGTGGGCGTCCTTGATGAGCTGCGAGTTCTTCATGTCCTCGGGTTGGTTGAGGTCACGAACGATGTTCTCCAGAGCCTGGCGGTGGGACATCCACTCCTCGATAAGGGGTTTGGAGGAGAGCTCCTCCTTAACAGCAGCCTCCACGACGGCCGCCTTGGCAGTGACCTTGCGGGAGGGTGGTGCGGGTCCGACGACGGCAGCCTTGGGCGCATCCTTGCGCTTGCGGCCCTTGGAGCTCTGCTGGCTGTTGCTGATGCTGGTAGGGGATCCGGGAACACCGTTGTCATTGTGAACACGGCGCATGTGGTCCTTCAGGTTCCATTGGCGCGGGAATCCATTGCCAGGCATGGCACGGTCGCATCCCTCATAGGAGCACAGGAATGGCTTGTCGCCGTGGCCGTGCATAGCGTGAGCCTCACGCTCATGGCGAAGCAGGCAGGCAGTGGAGGAGAAGCGGGCGTTCTCGCAAGAGTCAATCTTGCAGCGGTAGGGCTTCAAGTGGGAGTCCACGAACTTGCTGCGAGAGGAAGGGAGGGTTAGTCACGGGGGACGGAGTCCGGGGCGAGTATAAAAGGCGACTTACTCGTAGTTGCACTTGAGCTTCTCGGGCTTGTGGTTGCAGCTGCTTTCTCCTTCCCATGGGCAGTGGAACAAGCCATCGGCTTGCGGGGTCGCATTCTTGTACAAAGGGTGATCCCGGGCGGTGTCACCCTCATTGGTAGGCCGGCGGCTGGGGAAAGCAGGGGGCAGTGCGGCATCGCCGACAATGGTGAGGACGCTTCCAGCGAGCTCGTCGCTCATGAACTTCCCGTTGGCGCTGTACAAGAGTGTCTCGTCAGAGGCTGACTCTAGGCTAGAGCAGCTGATCTGAGGAACATACCTTGGAGACTGGCTTTGAATAATGGGGGAGACGTGCTCCGAGTGTGACGGCGAAGACATGAGGGGGGCGGACAGCCACGAATCCTCGGTGCTTCCGGCCGGCGAAGACAGGTGCGACTCTGACGGGCTGAAAGAGTTCCAGGAGGCAGAAGGAGAGTGAGCACACAGGCTCGAGTCCGGGTCAAGCTGCATCTGAGCAGGCACAACGTGCATGTTCAGCTCGCCTGAGGGCAGGCCATCGGGCATCATGCCGAGCTCCATAGAGTTAAACCATTGGGACGAGACGGCGCTCGTATCCGTGTCCAGGAAGTAGGGGTTCACGTCCATCATTCGGGCGCTGGGCTGAGGTCCGTAGACCGTAGCATTACCTGAGAGGTCCATGGAGGACAGCTGAGCAGATACTTGAGCTGACGCGGCAGCAGAAATTCTGGGTCGTGCCTTGGGAGATGTGACCTTGGAAATCCGGTGCTTGCGGCTTCCGGCTGAGCTGCGCGAAGTTCCTCTCCGCATGGGCTCGCCACCAACAGCTGCGGGAGCAGTCCACTTGCTCTGCAGATCCTCGGTAGTTTGGCCCTGTCCTCTGGGCGTGATGTGGCCATCAACTTGGAAAGAGTAGTCCTCGGAGTCTCCCGGGTGGGCAGATCCGTTGTCTGAGAAGTCTTGAAAGTTCTGTGCACCTTCTCCTGTCGTTTCCCACGAACCACCACTCAAGGGGTCCGATGGTCCTGTTTGAGAAGAAAAGGAAAACATTCCTGAGGGCACCATTTGTGCGTGGAAGAAGCTGTAATCGCTGAAAAGGGGGGTTAGTGTGCTGTTTCTCCACTATTCATGTGTGCAATGCAAAACAAGTAAACAAGAAAACATCTCAGCATGGCACAACTTTGTTCCTGTAGGGCAAGCATGTTAGCAAACAGGCCTTTTGCCTCACAGGTTCGGAATTATGAGTTGACAGACCAAGCGAGCGCAGATCAAAAAGGATCTTGCCAGGAGAAAGTCCAGTGGGGAAAAGGTGTCGATGTTCCAGTATAGATCCGCGGTTCAGAGAAATGAAGCTCCAGGTTCGTAATACATGTAGAGACGGTTCGAAGATCCTTCAGAGTCAACAGTCGAGAAGAACGAAAGTCCTGGAGTGCGCAATCGGTGTTGTGTTGATGTGGTCTCGGAGCCATGGGCAAGTTATCCTCGGAGATGATGGTGTCTGACTAATGGGTACGAGGCGTGAGTTGAATAGTGTTGGGTCCTTGGATAAGACAAGACCAGATGCGTTGGCGAAGAGTTTCCAGAAGGCAGCGTAATAGTAGTCCCGTCCATCAGGATGTACTGCTGTGAGACAGACCAGGTAATCTTGAGTCGAAGCAGTGGATCGAAGCAAACGGAATTCCATGAACAGAGAGAACAGACGAAGCTTGACACGTGCTGGGGCGCACTGTGACAATCCAGATTCCATTTTTCGAATAGGTAGGTAGGTTATTGCCAGTGCAAAAGCCTGAATTAAGGCAGCAACGGAGCAGTAAAACCGGGTTGTCCATTGTCGTGTCAAGTAGGTATGCAGTGAAGTCCATCCAAATGCGAAGCTGGGCAGCCTCTACGCCTCGGTCGAGACATCCATGAGTTCCAGTAGATCATATCCTTGAGAATCCTTTGGCATGAGGTGGCCAGGCAGTGTCCAGGTGTCTTTGGTGCGAAGTAATCCCAGTGTGGAGTCCAAGTTGCTGCTTGTCTCAGGTTTGCTCTTGTCGGGCAGTACTCACCGTGAGAAGAAATATAGTATCAGATAATGTTGATGACCGTGTCTGGCGCGACAGGCAAGAGGCTAGGCCTCTGCACGACGGTCTCCTGGGTCCAGTGGAAAGAAAGAATGTCCTCGGCAATGTTTCCATGATGGTCAAGTGTCCTGGCAGATAAAAGTCCGGAAGAATAGTCCATGGGTCGATGTGTCCTTTGTTTGAGGGCCTCCGTGGCCGGAAAGATCTGGTTGGTAGACGCGAAGAAACTGTACATGAAGCTTGCGATACATGATTCAAAAAGACGACGGACCACCCTGGGAACAGAATAAGAAAAGACAATACCTAGAAGGTGTGTGGACGTCGTCCAAATCAAGAGAAGTGTAGCCAGGCATATCCGGGCGCGGAACAACAAGGGCAGTCATTGATTCCTCGGGTCGCGTATTCATGCAAGTCCAGGGCAATGTAGTTCAACTCGGTTGAGTTGTGTCGTGTGAAGATACCAAAGAAAAGAGCAAACACAGCGGATCACTTGTTTGCGGCGTTCCTTTGGAATGCTTTTGTCGAGATGGTGTCGAGTAGGATAATCCTTGGGTGGCAAGATGCGGAAGATCTTTTTTGACCTTCTTAGTTCAGGTTGACCGTTTGTGCGAGGGCTGGAGGGATGTAGGCGGGTAGAAGAAGACAGTATTGGCGCTTGTTGGGTTGCCAGAGATCAGCGATGCAGAATGCAGAAGAAGTTGGGTAGGAATGAGGTTGCGGGTTGGGCTGAAAGAATAAGAAGAGAAACAGACGTTGGGCAGGGACAGAGGGGGTCAGCGGGTTTTAATGTTGCGGGACGAAGCCATGTCTCTGCTGGCATTTGCACAAACGAGCGAACGAGATGAGGTCTGTGAGGGGGGGCATCCAAGGGGCTGCGGGCATGGCAGACTCGGGAGGGGAGGATTGGGGGTGGAGCTGTCTACCACGTCGACATGCGTGGCCACCCCTGCCCATGTTCTGCTGGCCAGAGACAACCCCTGTTCCGAAGCATTGGCGCCCTTGATTCTGCAGATGGATGCTAGCTAGGCCAAGGCAATAGCAATCACATCTTGGAATATCTTGTCCACCACTCATTTCCAAGCCCATCCAGTCTCATCTCTCTATCTTGTGTCGTGTGCAGCTGCTGGCCAGAGTGTCTGGACTCCTGGCGGCATCATCTTCTCAGCTTCTGCCAAATGGATGGGATGCCGGCCGGCTGCCTTGGAAACAACAGTACATGCGTCGTCCACCGCCGAATCGCCGACCTTGTCGTATCCAATATGTGATGTGCCGTGGTGTTGGCCGTCACAGAAAGACCGCAGGTCAACTCGAGCTAATACACAGCGCTAGCCAGCTGGCCTCATTCAGTCTGCGCCTGTCATAGGCCCGTTCCGAGCGAGGTTGGCGGTGACTGGTCTTGCTTCCTTGATTTTCTTGACTTGGACTTGGGTCCCGGGTGGATACTGACAATGTTCCCAGCCTATCGCGATGCCAGTATTTCGTCCGCCGCGGCAGCATGGAGGGATCATGGCTGCAGTACCAACACATCCGTGCAGAAACCTCGAGCGTCCTGGTGGTAGAAGAGCAGGCCAGAAGACGCAGAGAAAAGAAACAAGGCTGCCCAGCTTGTCGACTCGCAGCGGGTTGATGCTTGCTTTCCCCGACCCTTCATCTTCCCATCCCTCCGCACCATGCGCGGAACTTGCTCGTCCCAACCATCAAAAATGTTGCTCGCGTTCCGGCTGTTCCTTGACCTTCCCCCTTTTTCTCCTCCTCGCACAGACGTGAAAGCCTCCCGTAACCCGTTTCCAGTAGGCGTCTCGAGCATCAAAGTCATGGCGCCATCTTGAACCAATGTTTTGATGCGCATCAATCGACGCCCGCCGAGGTGGCATCGATACCGCCGGCTGCCAGAAGAGGCCAGGCGAAGAGAATGAGAGAGAGGGGGTAAAAAAAAAAAAAAGACGCACACAACAGGCAGACAAGCGTAGTCTGCGTAGCACCACAGCCGAGCGGGAACTGCGGAAGGCCGGACTGTCAGCCCGTCTGTCCGTCAACCTCGTGTTACTCTATCTCCTGGTCGTTGGCTGCTTCATTGGTGTAGGCATGCCGCCGGCTCACGCGTCGATGAAGCAGAGGCCATGGTTGGCGGGCCGCAATAGCTGACACACACCGGCCGACAGTCTCCGTCTCAACTTGCACAATCCGCCAGCAGCTATTTTGGCGTGTTCGATGCTCACTGGCTAGGGTCGCCGTCGGTCGGCCACACACCACAAGCAACGACGCAGCGCATCACGCCCGCAAGACACATAAACGCGCTTCGCGATGTAGTTGTTCGGTGTCTACCAGCTGGCCTGCTTCTGGCGGAAGCGGTCCACGCCAACCATTTGCGACTCCTTTGATGATGCTGCATTGTGATGCATGAGTAACGTGCAGCGCGTGGCCTTGTGATCGCTTGACAACATGGTCCAACTTGTCATGCTGGTCGTATCATGAAGCGCAGCGGCAGCGACAGCGACATGTTGATTGAGTAACTTGATGCGATCCACAAGCGTTCGACTCGACCACCAGCAATCGCTCCACGTCGTCTCTTGCTTCGTTCTCCGAATTCCCGTCGAGCTTGCATAGAGCAGTCCAACTTCCTAGACCCACCTCGGTCTAGTTTGATGCCGACGAGCTGGATATTGGGAAGCCGGTGGTCTTGACTTTGAGGCCAGCATGAGGTTGAGACGCGGGGAACCACTCGCGTGTGGCAGTTCAAGGCAGTTTAATGCGAGATGGCTGATGAGCTGAAGTTAACACGGAATACGGGACGAGGGGAAGGCGAGAGACGTGAGACGGAGGCGCCCGTTGTCGAGCGGAGAGCATTGACGATGGGATGGGATGGGAAAAGACCTTGGCGATGGACGCAGACGACGAGACGTTGATGTCGAAGTCGAGATCGAGGATGAGTGCAAGGTTCTTGCCTTCTGTTCCAGACTCTCAGATGGAGTTTCTTAGGTAAGCCATGGAGTATTGGAGTATTGGAGCAACAAAGACTAGACCTCCGACAGCATTGGGGAAGCCACGATGCGCCAAGCGGAAACAGCGTTGTCTGGTTCCAGAATCGCCTACAACGTCCCGTTACTAGAACAAACAACGGCATCTTGACGCAAGCCACCCGCAGCCTCAGACCAGCGCCATCACCTGCCGCCTTTCGACCGATCTAAGCACATTGTTTGTCTAATTACTTACAATTAATAGCTACCTCATGTTGGAGACAACAGTTGGTCGATTGAAACACCCTTTCCCAAACACCTTTCCTCCTGTCAGCATCCCACGACCATTCTGCATCACAGACATGCTGACTCTTGCACGTGATTATCCTTCGACATTCAAGCATGACGATCAATACACATCCAGTATCCACTGCTGACCCATCCGTGCCGACAGAGTTCCAACCTCCCGTTCGGCATCTTCCATTCCCCATCGAGCCCGGTCACAGGTGGAATCCCTTTTACTCTGCTCATCCTTGTCATCCTTTCCACACCATTGAACTCTGTTACGCTCGTCCCTCGGTAGATGCTGCCGAGTCGAAATCCCCCTTTAACACAGCGTGAGGCAATTGGCAATCATGGCGATCTTGCCCCCGCGGCCTCGCCGCCGTCGCCGTCACGAACCGGAAATCAAGAGATACCCGTCGGTGGATCTTTCTTCAGCTGCTAGTTTTTCACTGTGAGAAAAAAAAAAAATCAAGTTTCGGATATGAAGTCGCCCGTCTGCGCTACGACAAATTGGGAGTCGCAGCGCATCATCCCCTACCTAAAACGCCGATCTAAATCTCGGTGTGCCAGCTTTCTGACTCAAGCAAGGGCCGCCAGGTCACCGAAAACTTGACACCGGATCTCGACAAAACGTTGCTCCGGTATGCACTCGGTGATGTCGTGCCCTCATATACAAACATATATCTACGCATTTCCAGCCTCCGCATGACGCATGTATCTCGGCCGTCGAAACGCTGCTGCTGATTGGAGGACAAAGAACATGCCGATTCGGAAGCTGGGATATCTTCTAGCCGTGTTAACATCAACTTTCAGCCACTCCCGTCACGTCGTCAAGTCCAACTCGCGTACGCGACTCGCAGAGCTCTGGCGATGCAAGACAGCTGCTTCCCAAATGCCTTGTAGTCTGCCCTCAGCATCTGAGCCTTCGGTCCAGGCGACATCCGCCAGTACTGTCTTCGCGTCGTGCCAGCTCTTGAGCTGCAATACGTCGCTAGCCAGGCTCAGTTTCGCAGCATACAACTCCCTCCACCTCGCAAGTTGTTCTCTGCCTGTTGCGGTAATTGGTCTACCCGTGTAAGCCACAGCTGCTCCGAACAGGACACTCCATAACCAAAGGCTGCGACCGAAATTCCCGGCAATCATTTCCTCCTCCTTGTCGCAGACATCGTCAATGAGTTGTTCCAGCAGCCACACGGTCAGAACGCAATCCATTTTGCTGTCGTTGACCGCCATGACGAGGTAGAAAAAGGTGGCAATATAGCTCGCCCTGCTGCTCTTTGCGTCGCCGTTCAGCATCGTCGCTATGTTGCGCTCTGGGTCGAATCCACGAGAAAGCTCCCAGTTTAGGTTTTTGGTGTAGTCCTGCCAGAGCCTGTCTGTGGGCGTCTCGTCGCCTTCCCACCAACCGTATCTCGGTGCTTGCCGCGGCGGGAGACTTTCCATATCCCACAGTGACGTGAACAGCAAGGCGATGATGCTGGGCTGGAAATCAGCACTGATGGCGTCGTGAATCACGTTTACTTCGCCTAGACGTAGGCGATCGCCAGCCCTGTCAAAGCTTTTGTTAACAGACCCGTACTACACACTATCCGACAGATTCCACTCACATCTGTAGCATCTGTTGTGCCAGATTCGATCTCATCAAGTTGTAGCCGTTCTTCCTGAGAGTTAATCTGTGAAGACCGCGGAGATGCTTCGAGGAAGCATCCAAGTCCCCGACCGCTCCCTGCATATGCCATCAGCATGCAAAACGCTATTATGAGGACGGCAAGGTTCCTTACCTCAGTGAGTGCCAGGCTGGCTATAGCAAAGATGGCTGTATCGCTGACATCATCCTCAGACTCGGAGAGTTGATGCTTTGCAAACTCATAGGCGGCTGCCTTGTGATAGAGAAATGGCACCTTGACGTGTTCAAGGGATCCAGTGACCCAGGCCCACTGGCAAGCCGCAACGACGAGACAGCCGTGAAGCAGTCCCGGGTGCAGAAGTGTTCTTTGCACGCTTTCTGACGTTAGCCCGGGTGGTGTCCTAGGATGGAAAACGAAGCCATACCTGCATAGGTTCTGTCCCCTTTCTACTGGAGTCTGACCTCTGACGTAAAAGGCGGTGACTGAACTTGGTGTCAGTCAAGTGATCTGAAGAGCAAAGAAGGCTGCTTACACTGGTGCCAGAGCCATTGTGACATTGCCGACATCTGGTAGTCGCATGAGAAGCCGGCAAATGGCTGGTTTGAAACGACATTGGTAATGATGGAGGCTTCCTCGGCCGGGACGACGGTTGGCTCGGACCCAGAGCGGGACTCGGAAAGGGATTCTGATCGAGACTCTTCGGCAGGGTCTACTTCAGGGTATACGCAGTCCTTGCCAGTCTGCAGACAATTCGTGCTGAAGCCAATGTTAGGTAATCATTCGACAGAAGGAACGGGCTGTCTATTGGTCCTCCACGGGCAGGACCTCCAATATGACAAGAGGCAGTCGAGGGGCATGAGCTTTCTCAAGGGAGGCATCGGCAGGGAAGACGAGGGAGGGACGCATACCACAAAGGCTTCCGCTCATCGCATCGTACATGACGCTGCTTACACGTCGAACAACCGTTCTTGCTGCGACGGTGGAATTTGCGTATCCGGTTCTTGGGCGGTGCCATGTCAACTCAATCTACCTATTATCAATGATTCTCCACACAATCCTGGGGCTTGAGGCGGCGCCGATTGATCATGCTTGGTGGGAACTGCGGCTATGCGGACCAGAGCGAGATTGATCTTGCAGTTGCATGAGATCCTGGGGAAGGCTCTGGACAAGAAGGGGACGACATAGAATTGGCAGCTAGGAAGTTGAAGGCAAGGGAAGAGATACAGGTGGTTAGCGAGTTAGCAATCTGTGTTTCCCTCATGTTTAATCAGCCTCCTGAACTTGACGAAAACGTTGCTGATGTTGATGATGATTGGCGTAAGCGATCAGGTGGAAGTTGCTACACGAAAGGTGCATAAGAATTTGACCAATAGGAAATAAAGGATGTCATTTGGTGGGTCGAGAAAATATCCGGTGCAGCCCCGCCAAGCCCCTCGGTTCCAAGTCCACCCTGCCGTTGTTTCTCCGGCCACCGAGTACCTTAGCTGCTTAGGAAGCTACCTTAAGGTTAGGTTAGGTAAGATAGGTAGGTTGTGCTTGAGGTAAGAGCCCGAAGAGGAAGGGCCGGACCTGAAGGATGGAACCTGCTTGAATGGAATAACGGCATCCGGAATGGCAAGCGCCGACAGGTCTCGTGGGTTCTTACTCCTCACAACTATCAGGCAACACATCTTGACCTCAGGTTGACAATGTGCTCAACGGTCAATTTTACACTGCCTCCCGCCCAACATCTATCTCATTGAAAGAATCATACAGACAAACAGAATATTCCAGAACTCAATCCATCCTGCGCCAAGCAAGGCATAAACCAATCTTCCATCCTAAAGTGTCGTCTTTAGCGTCGAGCATCAACCCTGTCATCCATCGAATCATACTCACAACCTACCTTAACCAAGCTGGTGTTGCTCCAAGGCCAACACCGAACATTCGAAAATGCTTACATGGCCGGATCCTTCCATCGGTGCGACCGTGGCAATCGTGGCAGAACTGAGCCGACCAGGAACCCGCGACGGGTCTCTCGATTGAACTCGATCTCGAGCCGTTATCCCGGACAACGGGGTAGAAGCATCGACCCGACGAAGCGAAGACGCATTGACAACTCGGTGGAAGTGGCCGGTCATGCCCCTCCGAATCGCCAGATTTTAAGTGGGACACACCGGTTGTGATTTCGGCCATGTCATGCGCATTTCGCTCCGCCATGCGCAACATCCCGGCCTTCTCAATGCCCGGAAACATGGGGAGCCCAAGATTCTTTGCTCCTTTGTTTCGGCCAACTCTCAACGGTCTGCTCCTCTCCAAAAAAGACGTCGTCTCAATGAGGCATACGAAACAACACAGCAAACCCCCCCACCCACACTGTATCAATGCGCTACGGAGTGCTGGAACGACAAATGTCGACGCGGGCAGATTGACGAGGCTCCCCCCAGATCTCACAGCATGTACGGAGTACGGAGCATACATGGCACGAGATGGATCCGTAGTCGTTGTCGCTAGTACACACAGATCACTGTCAAAAGTGACAGCAGCTCGATACGTTTGTGACCAAAATGGCAACAAAAAACAACCAACGTCATCCATCTCAAATTTTTTATTTTTTTTGGCGATTTGATCGTCCCGCTGTATCCCCGCATCCACGAGGCGCCGCCTGACAGCTCATCAATAGACGAAATAGCCAGTTCTGCCCCCCTCCTCCTCCACTCGGCAAATTTTGGCTCGTTTCGACTGCTTTTGAGTGTCACTGCACCTCGAGATCGACCATCCTGTCTAGGGCACATCATGCACAGAGATTGCGGCGATCGTCCGACCATCACTGCTCGCCCTTGGCTTCGGGACAGTCGAGTTCGAATCGTTGAGGTTATCGACAAACTACCCAGGATACTGGGGTTAACCGAGGCGCACGTCATCCCGCCTGATTGGCGATGGGCTAGTCACCCGCAGCCAGCCGAACAACCAGCCTTGAAGACTCTGGGGTGCACACCATTGGCTCAGGCGGGACCCAGATGCTTCCACCTAAATCTTGTCCAGCCCCAGCAACATCTTCCTGGATCCATGAGCCTTCCCTGCTTCAATATCGCCGTGACCAGCTTCACATTTCGCTACATCCAGATCACACATCTCATTCGTCCATTCCGCGAATCATTGAGGCTCCAAAGGTCACCGATCCGGCCATTGCCATGCTAGAGCTGAGTAGCAGAAGCCCCCGGAAGTCAGCGGAGCAAGGCGCCCACGATTGTGACAACGAAGAAGGTCTGCCAACGCTTTGCATGATTGGCCAACTGGCAATAGTCGGTCGACCCCTTCCGAGCAATGCCACTCTTGGGGTACTCGATGGAGGGTTGCTGATTCAACGATGCACAAAAGCAACTTCGACTTACCAGGTGGGCATCAAGGCATGGTTGGGCACGCACATTTCGCACGTAGCGCGCGTCCCCTCATCGTATCGGCCGTCGGTGTTTGCTTGTCCAATTTGTGCCCAACCCGGCCTGTTGTCACCGCTTCTTCTCCCGCTAGGTACAACCCTGCACAAATCATCCCATCCGGTACCGAAAAGCTACTCCGACCTTTCGGGCAACAATCCTCCAGCCCAGCAAAGGAAAAGTTTCTGTCACAGCCCAATCGGTGCCCTACTCTACACAACTGGCTCCGTCCTCCGTCAGGAGTTGGCACGTCCAATGGCTTCCACGCGTGAGCCTACACAGGCCGGCCATAAGATTTGTCTTCCTTCTGGGGTCTTCCTTGACTGAGGGGCCAACTGTCAAAAAATTCGACCTGGCATCGCGCGAAAACAGAGGGGGAAAGCACCAGCACCAGCAATCAAAGGGCACGCTGATCTCGCGTGTCGTGCCCACGATCCACGCCGCGTACCAGGCTCGACAAGCTAGGGATGGATGCCAACTTGTCCTGGGGCGCCCACCGTCGACCAATCTATTCCAGGACGCCCGACAGATGAACCTTCTGGACTATAGCGCTTGGCAGTCACGTATCCTCCAGCCCATGCGGCAGCCGTCCCGCTTGAAACCAGAGACGTCTCCATGGTGTTGGTCATTGGGGCGAATGCAAATCTTTACTCGAGTCTCGCCGGCCTGCGTCTGTCCTGGTCCCTGTCCTCCCTTCGCCTCGACTTCCCAGCGGACCACATCTTTCTGCTGTCTTGACCGGGATCAACCATTGTCGCCGCTCCAGTACAACGCCCCACGAGGAAGGACATCGCAAGCAGACATAAATGCCTCCATTCCGAACTTAATCATCCACTGTCAGGATCCTGCCCGCTCCCCCATCCTCGTCCATCCCAGGAGCTTGTTGGTTTCTTCTTTCCCGTTTTGCGCCAGCAAGATCAGACATCTCCCACTAACCCCCTAGTGTCTTTCACGTCAAGCCGTTCCCGATCATCTTATAAGTCATTTAAGGTGTCTTCGTGGAGACGGGTCGTTTCTTGGACCGATCACCTGCTTCCCCCCCATCACGCACACCGCCCTTGCAACGACCCGGAGTTCTTCAAGGGTCCCATCCTGGAACAAGACCATTTTTGTTATCGTGGATTCCCTTGTGTTTGAGGAGACAACTTGCCGCATTTTCCCAGGAATACTTGGCCGAAGATCACAGCCCAAAGGACCCTTTTTGGACACCCAGGGCTGACCTGCCCGCCCAAGGACTATTCATATTTCACGTGGCTTCCATCTCTGGACACTTTGGAAACCTCCAAAGATTTTGCTGCCTGATTTCTTTTCTCTCTACCGTTATGCCCCCGGAAGATATGGCCCAGCCGGATTTTGCCTACAGACCATCAGCCATGTCCAACGGACCGTGGAACTCGACGCGGAGGTACGGACCGCTCTCCTTATTTCCAAAAAGCCCGAGGAGGGGTGACTGACCGTTGAGAAAAGTTCAATGTACAACGATACATTCCCGCCCGCCGGAGGATTTGATACCAACTACTATCGTTCATCGAGGTAAGAACCAGACGTCATTATTCATGATGTTTTCCCACAAAGGAGCAAACGAGTAACACCATCCCTTTCAAGCGTGTCCACGTACTCGCCAGGAGCTAGTAACTACAATTTGCCGATCGGGACCAACCCCCATGCTGTTGCCGCTGCCGCCGCTCCGGCGTACGGATCGCGCCCAGCCTCTGGCACATACGGCACCAGTGGTGCCGCCGGCTATGGGTCGTACAAGAGTACGAACTCTCAATCATGGGATCACCAGGAAAGATACTCCCCGACGGACTCGGTCGACGACATTATTGCATCTCCGAACCTTTCTGATTATTCCCTCGAGAACGGGGCCGGCGCCACTCCCCCGAGTAAGAGCAAGGTGAATGGCAAGGGTCGGCCACAACGTCGACCTTCTAACCGCGACGAATTCGACGGCCCGCATCAGTTTCTCGCTCGCCCACCGCCAGAATACATTGCCATGCAAGAACGCGAACTGCCCCATCTCCCCACCAACCTCCACGTTCAAGAACAGGACTTGGTCCTTACCCAAGTCAACGACAGGCTCTCGCAGTGTGCGTATGACTTTGTGGCTAAATACCAGTTCCCTATTCCTTTGACACAGGATATGCGACCTGTTGAGCGACCTCAGGACCGGGAATGGACAGAATGGGTCTACCTCTTGAAGCGTCTGGCGACGAAGCGCCGCATCCCCGCGCGAGTACTTTACAACGGCCAGATTAAACAGTTTGTCACGATTCTCGAGAATTCACTGGAAATGCGACACGCGGCCAAGCACCAGAGTCGCCCATTAAAGGACGACCGCAACATTTTACAGCTCATTTCGGCGGGCATCCAGGTAGCCAAGATCCTCAAGGACGCGAGCGCCATGGACTACCTCGACCGACTATACGTTTCTACGGAGAAGCAAATTCAGGATCGCGCTGCACAGCGGTTCAGAAGCTAGTCTGCTCGCATGCTTCCTCCTACTACATACTCGCCCAGGCCGAAGTCGACAACCTCGTCGTGCGTAGCGAACCACGGCGAGCGTTTCGAAGCTGTCGGCCAACGTGGCACTTTGTTTACGACATTTTACGGACCTTACGAACTGAAAGTTATTGCAGAAGGGCGGAATCCACCTCGTTCTTTAGAAGAAGAAAAAGAAGAGAGTAGATGACTCCTTGATACGGAATCGGGACGTCAACAGGACGACAGCCCCCCCCCCCTCCAAAGGCACGACGCAGGAACACACCCACAGGCTCTAGCTTAGCTAAACGCTCCACCTCTCGGCAAAGCGAGTTGCGTCTTGTTTGTTTTTTATTTGATTTTTGTACGAGAAATGGTAATGGCTCTCCATCGTGGGCAGAAAACCTCTTTTTTTTTCTTTTTTTTCTTTTCTTCTGCGGCTCCCAGGGACACTCGACTGAATTGCCTCTTACTACACACGCACACGACACATACCTTTACTTGGCCCTTTTCGAATTGGTTTCGCAAGCGAAACGGGGCATGAGCATACTACGGGGAAAGCGGTGGGCGCTACAGGTTCATCAGGAAAGGGCGGAAACCTCTTTGTACATTGGTACTGTTATTTTGGTGGTTGTGCTATTCGTTTCTGCACTGCCACGGAGTGGTTTAGGGGCCTGGAGTTGTTTTCAACGGGGTGACATCTTTTTGACAGACACCCTTCACTTACACTGGGCTACCGGATGGCTGTTTTAACGCACGTCTTTTTTCCGCGCTTGTGCGTATTGTCTCTGTTTGTGTGTGGTTCACGAGAGAGCAATTTGGACATATCCCTACTATACTATTGTTGTTTTCTCTTCTCTACTCACTTGGTTTGGGCGGCTTAGATGAGCCTTTGGCAGTTTGATATCCCATAGTAGCCCGTGGCTGGGCGCGCTCTCTCAGCGCCAAGAATCTACGCAGTGTTCTTCAGATGTGCCGGTATCCAGTTCGTAAACGTCATGACTTGAGGCGCTCTGTTCGTCGCACGGCTCCTGACTCTTCTGCCACCAAGTGGGGGGCGCTGGTGCTCTCGCCTTCCCTGCGCATGTTCCAGGAGCCAAAGCTACTCCGTACGCCATCTGGCTTGTCAAACCCGGCATGATAGCAGGAACCGCAGGAAAGGCGTGGTAGGAACCCAAGTATCCGTCGGCTCTGCCCCTATCCTATCGGTGCGACTTCGTTACCCCCCACACCTGGCGGCGCTTGGGTTGGGCTGAAATGAACGGTGATCATCAGCCGATGGGGTTCCTGCTTGCGTGCCTGACAGGGTGACTTGGGCGGGAAGGACCACCAAGGGCCATCACCGGCGATCGATGGAGGTATCCTACACTATCATTAGGCAAAGAACAGGGAACGCAAACCGTGAAACGACCCAGGGAGCTCTGTAAGTCAATGGGGAGACCGTTGTGTCGCATCCCGCCTGATAGGTCCCCCGGGGAAGAAGGGCCAGGGCCGGGGGGGGCGAAGTAGTGAAACCGAGGGGTAAGCAAGCTGTTGGAAAAGTGAGTTGAAGACGGATGGGAAAGAAGGGATGCGATCTGCGCGCCGCATAGAATCCCGTCGGACTGCGCCGCGTGCCCCCCTTGACAACACGTCAAAGGCGAGCCAAGGAGCCGATGAATAGTATGACGTAGACTTACAGTTTCCGGTGATTGGTAGGGTTACATACACAAGCATGCAATGAGTTTGCTAGTGGGACTGGTGTGGTCGTGTTGAAGAATGACAAGCAAACCGGGACACATGGCAGACATGCCAAAAGACCACATCCTGGCTTGGGCTTTGTGTTGTTATCTTCTCCAGTTCTACCGCCCACATAACGGCGTCCGATTGACAGATTGCTGCAAAGAATAGAGTTCCCTATGTCTTGCTATCAGTGCGGATAAGGCATATTCCAGGGCGCGAACAGACAGGCTGATGCTAGGAAGGGCATAAAGACAAAGCCCATGAGCGCAGGAAAACAAGGATGCAAAAGGAGCGGAATTATGGAAGAACATTTGTGGCAGGTGCAGGTGGGTCACGTGAGGCAGCTCCTTCACATCTCGGAGCTGCCCCACCTACACCTTGCCCAGATATCCAGCCCAGCCAGCGCTCAGCTTTTCCCATGATCATCATCAGATCCAATACAGTAGTATTGCCTCCACAACATTAGAGCCCGGTAGAAGGTGGTTTCGAATCTTGGCTGACTAGAGAATCAATTAGCAGACCAGTGTGGCAGAACAAGGTTTGCTATGCTGAACGGGTGGTGTGCGGTCAAGGTTGTGGTGGTTTGGATGTTCTATCTTGGGGACTTTCTCCCACTACATCGAGTTGAAGTGGTGGGCAATCCAAGTAGATTGGGGGACGCAGTGAAAGAAGGGGGTTCGTCCAGGCACACGGCTCACTGGGTCTACCCGGGCAGAATTGGAACATGCTTCTGTCTGTGACGAGGGCGCTGTGCCAACTTCGGACTCGGGATCCTGAATCATTATTTCGAGGTGTGAGAGCTAGTTTCGTGTCGGGGTGGATCGAGGACAGCATAATCGACGATGCTATAGCCGGCCTGTTCTAGTTGGATATTCTGCCTTCAATTTCGCTAGTCATCAACGGGATCCCGAAAGAAACCGCCGGCCCTTGTGTAGTGTCGGACAAGCTGCCTAGAGGAGAAACGGAGCAGGCTAAGAATAACGGCAGGATGCCGACGGGAGCGGCATATAATCCGTGAAAAGCAGCCGTTTCTTCTTCTCCCCCTTGAGCAGGTGGCGATGTGCGACCCTGGGCAACGGCGTCGGCGGGGAGGCCGTGCCAGGCGGCATGGGCCCGTTTAGCTTCCGCGCTGAACGGGGTTTGTGGTCTGAGCTGTGCCAACTTCGACTTGCAAACAGGCGGACAGGCGTACGATGTGCGTGTAAGTCCTAGTCAAGCGCCGCACGCGCTAAACCTTATCTTGACGGGGGATGTTGGGTGTCACTCTAGTCGTACGAGATAGGAGTCATGATGATCAGCTTACCGGACTCGACATTGTACTTGGAGCTGGGAAACAGAGAATGGTGTTGGCGTTTTCGCGGTCGTATCGTGGGGATAAAGGTCGAACGCCGGCGGGTTGGGAGCTTATCCACTCTGGTAGATCCGGGGGGGCGATTGTTCTCTCTGCTACA